TAAGATCATGGATAATACCCCCAGGATAGTTGTAAAAAATATATATGATACTTTGCTTGTGCAAAATCACTATCACAGTTCTGCTCTGGTGAACAGAGTTTTACTATCACATGAATGCAGCAGCAGCAAGCTTATTGAATGATAACTTGAAGTTACCATCTTAACTGGTCATACCCTTCAGCTGCAGGTATTTTATAGGTATCATTACAGCATATTTATCCTACTATTCCTCCAGGTAATTCAGGATGATGCACATGGTTCTACTGCATCTTCACAACAGCCATGGTTCCTTGCAAGTGAACTGACTCTCTCAAAAAGAAGATTTTATAGCCTGCATCTTTGTTAACCCAAAGACTGCACAAGCCTTTTTCATAAGGAGACAAAGTTCTTTCCTTTTTAAAGTCACTTGTAGCTTTTTCTTCTTCTTTGTTTTACTACCAATAGATGGAGATTTGTTTGTTGTAACTTCTGAAAACTCTGTGAATAAAATATCCACTTATTTGAAAAGCTAAGTGTCTGTGATTTAGTCTAGCCTAAGTATTTTCATGAGGAATGGTTTGTTTAAAAGTGGATGAGGATGGATGTAAATATAACCAACTTTATGCATGGAACAATCGCCTTTGTGCTAACTCTGCTATGAGATAGTAAGAATCTATTTTCCAAAGCTCTCCCTCCAACCTTAAGGTACCAACACATGTTTCTTGTGTAAATCTGTGTAATCATTTACATATGTAGAACAAGGATGTGTGTTGAGAGGGGAATGAAGCATGGGGAAAGCAACTCACCATTTCCTCTCACTTAGACATGCAACATACTGTCAACATGTTCCCAGAATTTTCTCTCTTTGACAAACTTAAGAGCAGAGACGATATAAGTGAACCCCACACAAGGAACACAAACAACACACTTAATCTACTTCATAGATTTCATTTGCTTCCTGAAAGGCTCTCATCTGTTATATGCATGCACATCTTAACTTAAGTGAGCAGCCCTTCCACAGCAGCAGTGTTATGTGGCCTTTTCTGTACAAGCCCTTCAGCCAATACAAACCCCAGCCATAAAAAACTGATGCTATTGTAATGTAGCCCCTCTATCCATACACAAAACATCTGCAGTTATTTAAAATGACAGGTTTCTTCAAAACACAGGGGTATGGTTATGCATTTGGAGCAAGAGTTTCCCTTAGGAATCACTGAAGTGTGATAGCTACTGCAGATAAAAGAATTCCTGCCCCAGTCCCTAGGAAACTTCTGTGCCACCCTTTGGGGATACAAATACTGTGGCATTTGCTCTGCCTCTGAATTTACTCACAATACTGTGCTCCTCTTATTTTATAGCGGCTCAATAGTGACATTAATAATTTTCCATGCAATTTAACTAATCCATTCAGAAAGGGAAAGCTGTAAAGATCAGTACAGTGGTACCTCGGGTTAAGTACTTAATTCGTTCCGGAGATCCGTTCTTAACCTGAAACTGTTCTTAACCTCAAGCACCACTTTAGCTAATGGGGCCTCCCGCTGCTGCCGCACCGCCGCTGCACGATTTCTGTTCTCATCCTGAAGCAAAGTTCTTAACCTGAGGTACTATTTCTGGGTTAGTGGAGTCTGTAACCTGAAGCGTCTGTAACCTGAAGCGTCTGTAACCCAAGGTACCACTGTACTGCCAATGAGTCTCTGCCACCCCACCCCACGCTTTTTCGGCTGCTGCTGCTGTTCTATTGTTTACACACACACATACAGACACACACACACAAAAGCAACCATGTGTAATACTTAAAGCTATGTAACAGGTAGCTGCTACATTTCTTTCAATTTTCTCCAGGAAATTGATACATATTTTGCCATAAGGACTAGGAGCAGAATGATTGCATTTATGCTTACTGCTTTCAGGAAGAAAAACTGCATTGCCATCCTCAACTAGGTTGAGATTTCTTAAAAACTATTGTTTCATAAGACAAGATGAGAAAGGTTGCCTGACAGTTCAAAGCAAGAGGAAAGGAAGTGATGAGAACATGTTTTTAATCACTTAGAAGCCTGAGATTCTGTTACGTGGGTTCTGGGGCCACCTAGGGGAATGCCAGGAAGGCATAAAACACTGTTTAATATGGTTGCATCAGCATTAACCAAGCATTCTCCTTCAAATCAATATCTGAAAAGGCGCAACATCCCCAATCCTTTTAAAGGTCATCTTTATTGATTTGGATTGTTAATTTATTAGGATTTTCAGACTACCCTGGCAAATTACCCAGAGAAGGTACAAAAATTATCTGAACAGACTACTCACAAGTTTTCTAGTGGAATGAATGGCCTGAAGAGAGCAACCATCTGGTGGGAATTTTTAGGGTCAAATGGGATATTTCACATCCTCAATCTCTAGGGATCATATGGGTGAAACTGTCTCATGTGCTCTTCCTACATCTTTGTCTCCACACTGACTTCGTATGAAACCTTATACCCAGGTAACTACATTTACTGACCCAGCTGTGTTTCCAAGACAAGCAGCCAGGAGCTGCTCTAGAATAGCCAGTTCTGATATGCAGTATATTTCTTTGCCCATCGCTTCAGCTTCAGTCAATGATGCCAAAGTTGTCCAAGCTGTATATTTGAGCAGAATGTGTCCTTGTTCAGGATATTCCACAGTGCTGTTATAGGTTTCGGGGGCAGGGACCCCCTAATCCCTAAAAATTAATAAATGGTATGATTCTGATTATTTGGGATATGAAGGGAGTACAACCTGCTGAGGAGTTCCTGGGCTATCCTATGCAAAATGACTTGGCCAAGCTAGGGCAATGAAGAAACAATACAGGGCCTCTGAGGGCCATTGGCTATGCAAAAGAACTGTCCTTCCCCCTCACCTTGAGGTGTGAACAGACACTGGGGATTTCGAAGGTTGCCAGGGTAACTAGGCATGATTTCACAGGAAGAGTTTAGGGCCTTTGGCAGGAGGCTTAGACTAGATGAAAAAGGCCAGAGCGATCTTGGCTGGCTGGCTGAAGGCAGAGTTGAAGAGATCCTTTCGGCTTGTGCTTCACTGCTGGATGTGTGGGGGAGCCCCACTTAAGGTGACCAGGTTGTAAGATCTGTACTCCCTCTGTACTTACATATGTACTAAAGGTGTAAATATGTGTCAATTAAACCATATTTCTAAAAGTACGATGGTCTGTGCTGCGTCTTGATTCTCTCTGGAACACATAGCCTGGAACCCCCTGGAATCTTGCCATGTTTGGAAGAGATTGGGTGGGTGTGGTGTCTAACTTTTGTAACAGTTCTTTTCCAGGATTCTGTGCCGCTTCCAGCCTGCATGGCATGAGGGCTTTTCTTTATTCGTTTGTTTGCTTCAGAGTCTGGTGGATGTTCTCTTCTGCATTATTTTCTTGCTGGTAGAGGTGAAATACCTGTGAACCTACTTGGACTCTGAAACCATCATCTGATGCCCTTCTTCGTGTACCTCCTCCTTGAGAGGTCAAGAGGGTGGCAACATGAGCACAGGCCTTTTCTGCATGTCTCCTATTTGTGGCAGTTCGAAAGCATGCAGTGCAAGTAGATAAATAGGTACCGCTCTGGCGGGAAGGTAAACGGCGTTTCTGTGCGCTGCTCTGGTTCGCCAGAAGCGGCTTAGTCATGCTGGCCACATGACCCGGAAGCTGTACGCCGGCTCCCTTGGCCAATAAAGCGAGATGAGCGCCTCAACCCCAGAGTCGGCCACGACTGGACCTAACGGTCAGGGGTCCCTTTACCTTTACCCCAGGGATGCTCACCCAGCATCTTCATTATTCACCTTTAGGTGCGAGGCAAAAACATTCCTCTGCAACTAGGCCTTTGGCTGATTAACATCCTGCATCCTTTTAAATGTTTTTGTGGGAGGGAGTTTTGTTTTGTTTTTGTTCTTGCCTTTATTATGTATTTTGTGTTTTTATCTAGTATTTTTATGCTGTGAACCACCATGAGATCATCAGATAAAGGATGGTATACAAATTAAACAAACAAACAAACAAACAAACAAACAAACAAACAAACAACTAATGCTGTGCTGCCTCTAGCTAGACACCAAAAGGGGAAAGATTTCATTGCTTGCTTAGTAAGTATCTCCATCATAAAAGGAAGAAATAAATGCCAAGAGTTTGAGACAAACAAGGCCAGATCCATAAACAAGGCCTTCACATAGTCAGGATTGCTGCACTAAATTAAAAAAAGAACTATCCTACGCAGCACTGTGTTCTACCAGAACACAACCAAGAAGAACCAGGAAGAACACAAACAGCCAGCCCTCCCCTGTTATTTGTCCCCAAAATCATGTATTCAGAGGTACACTGCCTGTGAACATGGAAGTTTTATGTTAATTATCAAAGCTAACATAGCAAGCTTCTTGCAGCTCTCTTCCCAGAAATCCCCATTCTTAAATCCCATTCGTTACAGCTACAGTATCTCATCTTCACTCTTTGTTCTCCTCCAATAGTGCCAGCATTGCCAAACACACAACCAGACCATTACTCTTTCCATCCCCCCTTCAGTCTCTCTCAGTATCTTATTTTATTAGATTTATATACCGTATTTTTCGCTCTATAGGACGCACCCGACCATAGGACGCACCTTGTTTTAGAGGGGGAGAACAAGAAAAAAAAATTCTCCCCCTCTCTGCTCAGCACCCCTTCAGCGAAGCGGCAGAAGAAACGGAGCCCCTTCCATTTCTCCTGCCGCTTCACTAAAGGGGTGCTGTGCAGAGAGGGGGAGAAATTTTTTCTTGTGCGTTCAAGGTGCATTCACCCGAAGCCTCCAGAGCGCAGCAGGAGTTCCTTGGAAGCCTCTCGCTCTCCAGGCTTCAGTGAAGGCAACCCGAAGCCTCAGGAGCATGGCGGGAGTTCCCACTGGGCTCCGGAGGCCTGGGGTTCCTTTTGACCTGCTCTTTGGGGCTGGCGGGGGAGGGGGAGTGCTGCTCTAAGACCGTCAGCCTCAAAGACCAGGTCAGGGAGCAGCACAAAGGCTACGCGCCGCCTTCCTGCTGCCCCCCGAGCTTGTGGGGCTGGCGGTGGGGGGAAGCGCTGCTTTCCCCACTGCCAGCCTCAAAGACCAGGTCGGGGAGCAGCGCAAAGGCTGTGCGCCACCTTCCCACTGCCCCCCAAGCTTGTGGGGCTGGCAGTGGGGGGGAAGCGCTGCTTTGCCCCACCGCCAGCCTCAAAGATCCCTGAAGCCTTCGGAGCGCAGCCCAAAGGAAAAATATGAAGAACAGAAGTTTTGACAAATGGACTATCAAAAACGCGTGAGGTAAACGGAGGAAGTCTTTTAAAAATATTTTAATTAAGATAGATAAGGATATGATGAAAATACATAACTGAACATAAATATAGATTGGAAATGGCTGTGTATAGTGAATACTTATCTACTTTTAAAATTCTCAATCTTGATCTTATTCTTTATCTTCTTCTTTTCTTTATCTTCTTCTTGTTCTTTTCTTTTATATTTTACCTTTCATTTCTTGTCTTTATTGTGAATATTGTTTTGTAGAGGTGCAAATAATTGTAAATATCAGAAGAGGTAAAATGTTTTCTAATTTTTTATTGGTTACATGTGTCTTCCTTTTTTAGTATATTTGTATTTTTTTCTAATTTGTACTCAATAAAATTAATAATAAATAAAGAAAGCTCATCACGTGTCCATCTCCTCGTCCCACTTGGCGGCGTCAGGCAACTTCACATTTTGTCACATAAAATCAAGGAACATGGAGGCCTGCAGTAACCGGCCCAGCCTCTGGAAGTGCCGTGTATGGTAGGAGAGACTCCACAGCTGCTTTGATCCCTTCGTATTGCAAGAGGCTCTCTGGCGTCTCATGCTTGAGGAAGGTTTCCACCACTGCCTGAGCCTCGAGGTAGTTCCGCCAGTTTGTGTTCCACATGATGGAAAACTTCAACACAGCCTCTGGAAGAAGGGGTTTGGGGAAGACACGTCAGGAAGGAGTGCAAGTTGCAGGCCGCGTGGCCACCTTGAACCAACACACCTTTCTTGCGAAGCGTGGCCAGGTCTGGGCACACATCTGACCTGCGCCTTTCTTCAAGGCAGGGAAGCAGATCCAACACCCCTCCCCACCTAGTAGAAACAATTAATGATGGGAGGGGTGACTGGGTTTATTCCAGACTACATGGCTTGCAGGAATGGGTTTTATAATATTTATAAAAGTACAACAACAACAATATGCATTATCTTTGCTCTAGTATTACAGAGCTGATGGAGCTAATTTGAGGCTGTGTACACACCATACATTAAAAACATTATCGCTTCTCCCCTGTAAGAATCCTGGGAACTGTTGTAGCACCCTTTACAAACTGCAATTCCCAGGATTCTTTGGGAGAAATGTGCTTTTAATGCCTGTTTTTCCTGCAGCAGGCATGCTCAGCTACCCCTCTGGAAGCTCAATCCCACAGAAAGCTGGGACAGCCACCAACTTGGATCCTTTTATGCAGGAAAGGCTATCAATGGCCACTAGGCACAATGGCTATGCTCTACCTCCACAGTCAGTGGCAGTAACCTTTGTGAATAGTAGTTGCTGGAAGATGCAGGAAGGGAATACAGAATGCTCTTGTTTCCACAGGCCTCTGGTTGGCCACTGTGAGAACAGGGTGCTGGACTAGACAGGCCAATGTGGCCTCATCCAGCAGACGCTTCTGATGTTCTTACGTGGTTCAAGGGTAGAGATTGTGAGAAGGCATCTTCCAAAGCAATCCCACCCCGCAAATAGCTTTGGAGCCTTCTTGCCTCTAGCCTAGCCCTCACCCCTTTTCCTGTTCCCGCTGGAGTCTTCTTTTGCTTGCTACGCCTGTGGGCTCTCTTCCAGCCAACGGTGCCAATGACAGATCTTAAAAACTTGGGGTCGGTGAGATTCGGCAATCGCAGCACCTTGCGCCTGCTGGACCTCCTGAGCAGAGCGGGTTGTGTCTTGCTCCTCGTGAAGCAGGTGAAATGTGAGGAGTGTTGCAAGCCGGTGCAGAGGCAGAAGGTCTGGCCGAGATGGTAGAGCACAGCTTCTCTGTCAGGGGCTTCTTTCTAACCCAGTGGAACACCAGTATCATACGCCTCTTAGATGGGTTGGACATGCTGAAGAAGGTGCTGGAGGCCCAAAGACCAGGGTGACTTCAAAGCGGAGGACGCAGCAGGCAGTTCCCTATCAATGGTGCCAAATCCAAGCAAATGTTAGCTCCAGTCCTGTTAAATCGATCCAGCAATTATGAATGTTAAAGAAGGGATTAATTCCTCAGGCAGTATGAAAAGACTTTCTGTGGCTTTTGAGTAGATGGGAGCCCCCAGCTACTGCCACTGTTGACAGCCTGTTGCCCCTTCACTCTGCTTGAATGGGTTATGTCACAATGGTTCCTTCATCAGGTGTTTGTGAGCATGAAAATGCTGTTGGGAGTTTCAGCAATGAAGGCTCAGGCATAACATACTGTTTGAAAGTCTGAACATTTCCTCTTTTTTTATTTAACATAATTTATATACCACTTTTAAAATTTATATACAAATTATTAGGAGAGTAAGTTAAAAATATACTGTGGTTTATTCACTTAATAGGCTAGTTTACACACTTTATTCCTTCTTATGCTTCTATCCCACCTTTCCTCCACAGAGCATACACACTTCAACCTCCACCTTCTCCATTTTATCCTGACAGCAATATTGTGAGCTAGGGCCATAGCTCAGTGGTAGAACAACTGCTTAGCATGCAGAAGGCATCAGGCTCAGTCCCCAGCATCTCCTGGTGGGACTGGGAGCGCTCCCTCTGCGCTTCGGAGGCTTCGCGTTGCTATCGCTGAAGCCAAGGAGCCTGCATTCGCTCCATAGGACGCACACACATTTCCCCTTAATTTTTGGAGGGGAAAAAGTGTGTCCTATAGAGCGAAAAATACGGTACTACCCTTCATCACAAGATCTCAAGGCACTTCACAAGATAAAAATATAAAGTAAAAGCATAAATAAATAGTTAAAACAAAAACAACACAATAATGACACACGCACCGCAAAAACATTTAAAAGGCTGTAGAATGTTAATCAGCCAACGCCAGGTTGAAGAGGCACCTCAAGATATATAATGAAGACACCAGACAAATCTCCCTTACACCAGAATGAAACGGATTAAAAAACCTCAAAGCTATCCAAATTCAAAGCTCATGTTCTTGGATTATGGACTCTAGAATATTCTTTAAGGACTTCCTGACTTTCCACAGAGGACTGTAGGGCAATGAATAGGCAGGTTTAGTCCTAACAACTAGGGCAGGGGTCGGCAACCCGCGGCTCCGGAGCCGCATGCGGCTCTTTTACACCTTTGCCGCGGCTCCGCAGATCCTCGGGGACCCTGAGCAGAAAAGCAGAAGCGCCAGAAAGAGGGGGATGGAGCTGGGCAGCCGAGCCGGGCAAAGCAAGGCGGCGGCGGCAGCAGAGCTCGAGAGGCGGCGGCTGCTGGGATGGAGGAGGAGGCGGCGGCGGCTGGAGAAGGGCTGCTGCTGCTGCTGCTTCTGCCGCCGGAGGGAAGTTCTGCCAGGCGGCTTCATGGCTCATAGCTTCCCCCGGGGTAGGATGGGCAGCGGCGGCGAGGGGAAACGCTCTCCCAGGCCACGCTCTCCTCAGCCCCGCGCGCGAGGCACCTGAGGCAAGGGAGAGAGAGAGCGCGCGCTCGAGGGAAATGGCGGGGTGGGGTTTTTTTGTGTGTGTGTGTGTGTGAGGGGTGGCGGTCGTGCTTCGGGATCCTTTTCCGTGCCTTGCTTCTGACTGGCCGCCGAGTTGAGGGAGAGCACCTGAGGTGAACCACAAAATGGGCCCGCCCTCCCTGTCAGGGAGGAAGGGGTGAATAACGTCAGTGACGAGGAGGGGGTCCAGAGGTAGCCAGCAGGTGCTGTGATGCAGCATCTCGGCCTCAGAGAGAGGCGGGGGAGCACGAGAGCAATTGAAGAGGGGGGGGGCTGTTAGGCACCAAAATCCTGCATGCGGGATTTCCCCCGTTCTCTCGTGCCTATGCAATTCCTGCCCTTCTCCCTTCCCCCTCGAGATTTGCTGCAGACAAGCAAATGAAGAAGAAAGGAAAAAGTATTAGCTGACATGTCCCCGGATCCCATGGAAAGCACCACAGATTCCTTTGCTTACCAGCTCTTTTTATTTTAAGTTGGCTTCAAACCTGTAATTGTGTAGGTGTATGTATGTATACATACACACACATAAATATTCATATCTCTTCCCTCTCACCTTCCTTTCACCCAGTTTCTCTGGCACTGGTTTATAAATGCTGCTATGTAGAAATGATGAGAAAGTTGCACCAGCAGAAGAAATGGATATGTTCTGTTAGTAAAAAGAGAGGGAGTTGAACTGCAGGGAGGGACAGACACTTTTCTATGTATTAATTTGTATAATGCCCTCTATGCACATGGTGCTTTGCAAAAAAATGGATATGAGAGGTACCATACCCCTCTTTGCTATCTGAAATAGACTCAGGGAAAAGAGAGAGAATGGGGGAAGGGGAAGAATGTGTGGTTATTTACATTTGGCTTGTTTTGCGGCTCCCAGTTTTTTTTTCCTTCGGAAACGGGTCCAAGTGGCTCTTTTTGTCTTAAAGGTTGCAGACCCCTGAACTAGGGAAACAGACCTGCAAGTATTCAGTGTATTCAGAAGCCAACATGAACTGCCTGTAGTTTTTTCAGCATGCACTGAGGTGAAATTTGTAGCATTAATCTCTGGCTATCTCTGGACTGTTATCCTCCCTAATTATCCATTGCCTTTGTGCAGCTAGTTTCCAATTAGAAATGAAACGTTCTCTCTTCATCAACTACAAATTCTGGAGTCTGAATCAGAATATGTTGATTCAAGACACTGAGGGATAACATGAGACTCTTAATCTCAGGATAGTGGGTTCAAGCCTCACATTGGAGAAAAGACTAGTGTGTTGGACTAGATGACTCTCATGGTCACTTCCAACTCTACAGTTCTATGATTCCATGAAGTACTGAAGCCAACGGTGGGGAACATCAAATTGCAACGGGCTTCACTTGAAAAAAGAAAAGTACAATTTACAGGGAGCATGGAAATACTAACTCTCAGTTAATACCCTTGCCTTGCAAGGGTAAAATAATTTAAATGGCAGAATAAACATTCCATTCACAGCAGTATCTAAAAGTCTTTTTTTTAAAAAGCAGTAATGAGAAGACATGATCAGTACTTTTGAGGTCACCATCTTTGACTGTGGATACAGAGGACTTAATCTTTATCCTACCTATCTATAATGGTATGGGGTTGCTCGTGCGTAAGTTGCCGCCTCTCCTGGATATGTTGCCTTGTTAAACCTTTCTGTCTGGACAGCCCTTCAATTCGTGGCTGCCTCAGTCGCTAGCAGAATCCGTCAGTGGGCGTTTCTTAAACCTTTTCCAACATAAAAGTTGTTTGACACCCAGTCTCCTCCTACTTTCTCTGCGCGGAAGTCTTCTGCGCAGGGAGGGCGTGGGTAGCGGAGGACCAGTGCTCTCCCCGCTGGTGTCCGGTGAAGAGTCTGGGAGCCCTCTCTCCGATTCCCACATCTGCCCCTCCTTATTCCTGGTGTTGCACTGAATTGCTTCCCCATCTGCTGAGCTGCCTCTCTCCCTGCTGGGCCCTTCTCCAGCATCATTAGAGAGCCTCCCCTCCACCTCTAGCTCCGATGTCAGTTCCCTGACATCCACCTCCCCCCCAGGACCCCCTCCACCCCCGGCCCAACCTGTTGATCCAACTTCGTCCCTTTCTTCGGCCGATGATGCGGGGAACCCCCGGAAGAAGCTGTCGTCATCCTCAGAGGATTCGAAGCCCGCTTCCCACCCGTTCTGATCCCTTCCCACGGGGTGGGCCTCCCAGTCTGATTCTTCTTCCTCTGAAACCTCTCCTCCCTCCTCCTCGGAGGCAGGAAAATCCACATAATCCTCTTCATCGTCTGTGGTTCCAAATTGCTCCTCCCAGAATCTTGCCAGTGGTTTGGGTTTGCCCGGGAACAGGCGGTGGAATTCCTCCACCAGATACCCGTCATCAATTGCCTCCGCGGGAACCCACGTGTTTTCCGACCCGGGTTCTCCCTCCCAAGCTACCAAGTACTCCACCTGGCCTCCTCGCCACCTTGAATCAAGTATTTCCGTGGCCAAGTGGTGGTGCTCCCTCTCTTCTACCTGCGGGTGTGTGGTGACTTCTCCCTCTCGCCCCGGGAATTCCCGCCCCTCCCTGTACGGTGAGAGTAGGGACCTATGGAACACCGGGTGTATTTTCATGCTGTCAGGCAACTTGAGCTTGAATGCCACGGGGTTCACCTGCTGGGACTTCAAACGGTCCCAGCCGCCTGGGCTGCAACTTCTTGCACCCCCCCTTAAAGGGTAACCCTTGGGTTGACAACCACACTCTGTCCCCCACCCGTATGGTTTCCCCTTCCCTACGGTGCTTGTCTGCCTGCCTCTTGTAAATTTCCTTGGCCCGCTCCAAGTTCATCTTAAGTTGCTGGTGCAGGGCCTCCATTTCTTCCACAAACTGCTCTGCCGCAGGCACGCTCCAACTTTCCTCCCCACTCCCCGGGAAGGCCCTGGGGTGACACCCATAATTGGCCATGAACGGGCTCATTCCCGTGGACACATGTTCAGCGTTATTGTACGCAAATTCAGCCAGCGCTTGTTTCTCCACCCAATCGTTTTGCCTCTCGCTGACATAACAGCGTAGGTATTGCTGGAGTATACTGTTCGCTCTTTCTGCTTGCCCGTTGGTTTCCGGGTGTCTCGCCGTCGAGAAGCCCACTTCGACCTGTAGCAAGCTCATGAGCTTCCTCCAGAACCGGGAAGTAAATTGTTTCCCGCGGTCGGAGATAACCCTCAAGGGAGCCCCATGCAACCTGAATATGTGATCTACAAACAACCTGGCTGTTTCCTCTGCCGTAGCCGCATGTGAGCAGGCTATAAAATGGCACATTTTTGTCAGTAAGTCGACCACTACCATGACTGCTGTCTTTCCCCGGGACTTGGGCAGATCGGTCATAAAATCAATGGACACCACCTCCCAGGGTTTTCCCGGCGTGGGTAAGGGTTCCAGTAATCCTGCGGGGGCAGCCCGCACCCCTTTGCCCTTTGGCAGCGGTCGCAACCCCGTACATATTCCCGTACATCCTCCCTCACCCTGGGCCACCAGAACTGCCTGGTGACAAGCATCATGGTTTTGTGCTGTCCAAAGTGTCCAGCTGTGGGATTGTCGTGGAGTTGTTTGAGTACCTTCCCCCGTAGGGTCTCCCCCGGTACATAAAGCGCCCCCTTATAGTACAGCACCCCTTCCTTCTCCTCAAACCCTCCTGGGGTTTCTCTTCCGCCTCGGAGTTCCCGGATTTTAGTTTGTGCGAACACGTCGTTTCTAGTGAGTCCGGCCAGTTCTCGTTTCCCCACCAAGATTCCCCCACACACCCACCGGTTCTCGGGGATCACGTGTCGTATCTCCGGCGGCCCCTCTCCTTCCCAGTACTCTGGCTTCCTGGAGAGCGCATCTGCTCTCACGTTTTCCTCCCCAGGTACGTATCGGATTTCGAAGGAAAACTTGGAGAACTCCTGTGCCCATCGAATCTGTCTCTGGTTGAGTACTCGTGCAGTCCTCCAGTATTCCAAGTTCTTGTGATCTGTACAAACCTGGATCTTGTGCTGCGCCCCTATTAGAAGATGGCGCCATCGACGAAACGCCGCATAGATCGCAAGCAGTTCACGGTCATACACAGTATAGTTTTGCTCCGATTTGCCCAGCTTTCGCGAGAAAAAGGCACACGGCTTCCATTCCTGCTTGCTCCTCCCTGGCTGCAAAAGAACCGTCCCAATGGCTCTGTCGGACGCGTCGGTCTCTAGCCTCATGGGTTTCTCCAGATCCACGTGCAGGAGCTGCTCTTCTGATGCGAACGCCTTCTTCAGTATTTCAAAGGACTGCTGGGCTCCCTCTGTCCAGACGAACTTCCTTTTGCTACTGAGACAATCTGTGATGGGCGCTGTCAAGAGGCCAAGTTCTTGATGAACTTCCTGTAGAAGTTGCTGAACCCTAGGAACCTCTGCACGTCCTTCCGGGTTTTGGGAGCCTTCCACTCCAGCACTGCCTGCACCTTGCTTGGGTCCATCGCTAGGCCCTTGTCTGACAACCTGTACCCCAGAAACTCGACTTCTCTGGCATGAAACTGACATTTTTCCAGTTTGACCCACAACTGGTGCTTCTGCAGTCGTTTTAGCACTTCCCTGCCATCCCTGACATGTTGCTCCTCATTGTCCGAATAGATTAAGACGTCGTCCAAGAAGGCTACGCAGTTCTTGTACAGCAGGGACCCCAGCACGTGGTGCATGAATGCTTGAAAACAGGCGGAGCCCGACTGTAATCCAAAAGGCATAACTAGGTACTCAAAGGCCCCTAGGGGTGTGAACATTGTGGTCTTCCATTCGTCCCCTTCCCTCATCCTAATCAAATTGTATGCTCCCCTGAGGTCCAGCTTGGTAAAAATTTTCCCTTGCCTCACCCGTGTTAAAATGTCATCAATCCTTGGCATCAGGAAGGTCACGGGTTCCGACACCAAATTGACGGCCCTATAGTCCACAACGAGCCTGGGTTTATTTGTGACCTTTTTGTCCACAAAGAACACCGGACTGCCCCCCACTGCTTTCGATTCTCTTATGAAGCCTCTTTTCAGGTTCTTGTCAATAAATTCCCGCAACTCCTTCATCTCCCTGTCCGACATGGCATACAGTTTACCCACCGGCAGCTGCGCCCCTGGGAGCAAGTTGATTTGGCAGTCAAAGGGCCTATGGGGGGGTAGTCTATCCGCCTCCTTCTCGCTGAAGACCTCCTGCAGGTCAGCATATAGTGGTGGCACCTCCCCTTTCCGCTCCACAGCTATCCCAGCCACCCTGGCCACGGTCATTCTTGGGGTTTCCCCCCCTAGACAGTGTTCCAAACAGTAAGCGGACCCAAAGGTGACCGTCCTCTGATGCCACGCCACCACTGGATCATGTTGTGCTAGCCAGCTCATCCCTAATATTATTGGGGGCCCTGCCAGTGAGGCTACGTGAAAGGCGATGGTCTCCGAGTGCCTGGAAACCCTCATTCTCATTGGTGGGGTCTGGTGTGTCACTTCCCCTCCCAGTAGCTCTCTGCCATCAATGGTGGTTACTTGCAAGGGGAAATCTAAGGGCAGCAGGTGGAGCTGGTGCTCTAGTGCAAAGTCCTTGCTGAAGAAATTGCAGGAACTGCCTGAATCCAACAGCCCTTTCACCTTGACTGGGTGCCCATTCGGGAGTTCTAGCACCACTTCTATGGCTATAGCCGCCCTGGGGGCGTCTGGTTGGGGCACTTCTATTGGTTGCTGGCCTGGCTGCTGTGCCCTCTGAGTGGCAGCCAAGCGTTGTCGTTTCCCGGCTCCTTTGCTTTTTCCACCTCCTCCTCACCCCCTGCAGCTCCCACCATTCCTTGCCAGGCCTTTCTTTGAGGGCAGACCCTGGCAAAATGTCCTGGCCGCTGGCAGAGGAAACACTTCTTATTAGTTTTCCAATCCTTTCCCTCCTTCTTGCGACCGTCGCTGGAATTTGAAACCTCCCGCGCGCGTGCCCCATCTATTTCCATTGGCTCCGCTGGCGGGGAAGGCTGCCTTGGTATTTCAGGAATGCGGTAGTCATGGTAACCTTGCTCTCTCCCTTCCCGCTTCTCCTGAGCCCGCGCTTCCTGCCTTACACCAATCGCAAGCACAGCCTTGGTCAGCTGATCCATCGACTGCGGGCGGGGTACGCGGGAAAGCTCGTCCTTCACCGTTGGGGACAACCCCTCCTCGAACAACATTTGAATGGGTTCAGAGTCCAGTTCCCACCCGAGCCGGTGAACTAACATGGCAAAGCGTGACCAGTAGTCTCTAACTGACTGGTGCCCCTGTTTACAGTTCATCAGTTCCCGCCGAGTCACACTTTGCTGCACATCACTGGAGTACATTGCGTCCATCCCCTGAAAAAATTTCCTCAGGTCCTTCAAGGCGGCATTCTGCGTTGCCATTAGGGGCCTGATCCATTCCCTGGCCCCATCCTGCAGATGCCCAACAATATAAGCCACCCGCTCCCCGTCGTCTGCAAAATCATTCTGCTGCAGTTCCAAAGCGTACTTATTTCCGTCCAGAACGCACTATAGTCCTGAGGCTTCCCTCCAAATTTGTGTACCAGTCCCGGTACCTTCCTTGCTACGGGGGTGGGTCTGACCTGTGCATCTTGAGCCCGCCTTTCGTCCAGCCGCGCCATTAGAAGAGCCACATGCTGCTCCAAATCTCGGTTCCTCTCCACCAGATTTTGCACTCCTGCTGCTCCCTCCGTGGCGCCAGCTTCTCCGGTTTTGCTCATGATGCTGCCTGCCGCTGTGCACAAGCAACGTCAGGGACTGACGGATTGCTATAATGGTATGGGGTTGCTCGTGCGTAAGTTGCCGCCTCTCCTGGCTATGTTGCCTTGTTAAACCTTTCTGTCTGGACAGCCCTTCAATTCGTGGCTGCCTCAGTCGCTAGCAGAATCCGTCAGTGGGCGTTTCTTAAACCTTTTCCAACATAAAAGTTGTTTGACACCCAGTCTCCTCCTACTTTCTCTGCGCGGAAGTCTTCTGCGCAGGGAGGGCGTGGGTAGCGGAGGACCAGTGCTCTCCCCGCTGGTGTCCGGTGAAGAGTCTGGGAGCCCTCTCCGATTCCCCATCTGCCCCTCCTTATTCCTGGTGTTGCACTGAATTGCTTCCCCATCTGCTGAGCTGCCTCTCTCCCTGCTGGGCCCTTCTCCAGCATCATTAGAGAGCCTCCCCTCCACCTCTAGCTCCGATGTCAGTTCCCTGACACTATCTTTAAAAATATTTTCAGCTAGCAGCTACAGAGGACATTCTCAGTTGCTTCTGGAAGAGGACATAATAATGAGTAGAGGAAGGAGAACTCATGGTAATGAGTTCTTTTTCCTGCGCAGATTACCTCAGCATGAAGCCAAGGATAAAAGAAAAAGTGGTGCTGAAGGCTACAGTTATTTCTCAATCAGCGAATTTGCAAAATCTTATGACTTTCCCGCATCTTATTTCTCAATCAGCAAATGTGCAAAATCTGATGACTTTCCCGCATCTTTCCAAAAGCCGAAGGACAATTATGAATATCTGAGATATATATCTTTAAAAGCAACCTGCAGTGTTACCCCAAAGAAGCCCTTTCTTTCAGCAGTTTGAACCCCAATGCTACAAATGGGCATCATGGTACCCTCCAAATGTTGTGGCTCAGGTTTATGAGAATTGTAGTCCACAGCACCTGGAGGGCACCACTTTGCCTACCTCTGTTGTCCTGTACTGTTGAAATAAAAAAAAATCCAAATTAATTTAATTTTTTAAAGACAAATAGCTTTTCCTGCTCTCACCTAAATTCCCCGCTGCATCTCTAATAGTGTGAGCCAGGGCTTTTGCCAACTTAGGCAAGGCAGGAGAGACAGAATTCTTCTTTCCTTTAACTAAAGGATTAAATACTACTGGCTTCAAAGAAACCTTTGGAAGATGTGAACACACAAAAAAGTCTGTCACTCGCTCACTCCATTTCCCTTTACCTAATACAGCTGTTTTACCCAGTAACTTTTACTGAGACACAACATTCCTAACCGCATCCCTACTCTTAAAACTCTCTGCCTTATACTACTGATGAACAATCTCAAAATTACACTATGAATTAAGGTTACAAATAAGCAGTGATTGTTAAAGGATTATTTTGTTGCCTTCTGTAAATGAAAATGCATTTTCCAGCTTCAGATACAACAACGTACCAAGACTACTTATAAAATCAGACTTATGCAATAGTATAGTTCTGAATAACTTGACGGTTTTGATTTTTGATATCTTGGCGTATCTTCCTGGATATTTAATCAGGAAAAAAATCAAGTACTGAGTAGATTCAACAAAAACATATCTTCCATTCCTGTATTGCAGGGGGTTAGACTAGATGACCTTTGGGTTCATTCCAATTCTACAATTCTATGGTTCTATGATCCTATTCATATCAGAGTTGAGACTTGATAAATATTAAATAGGCATTGTCATAGCAAATTATGTAAGCAAAAACTCAATTTCTTCCTTTTTAACACATCATATGTAGATAGAATCAGGTAACATTTAAGATACGCAGATACTGATTATATCACAAATCTATGTACATTCAAATCCACAAAATAAACAGATAGTTTCTGTAACTACTAGAACTTCATATTGACTTGTCTTACATGGCTATTGTAAAGATTGCTGTGGACCCTGAAGAAGAACAGATTTAACATTTAAGCCCTGGCATAATGCAGAGGGTCTTACTTTCAATCAGGGCTGACAAGGTGAGGCAACTGCCTCAGGCGGCAGGATCCACAGGGGCCTTTGATGAATGTACTGCCCACTGCTGCTGTCGTGGTGGCAGCAACAGCTGTTTCGCGCTCCTTGGAGGCTGGATCTGGTCCCCCATGCCACATCTACAGTGGTCTCTTGGTGACTAGGAGGCACTGCTGGTCTCCTCCACCCTTGCCCCCAATGTAGATCTTTGTCCCCCCCCCCTTGCCCCCAATGTAGATCTTCACTTACCCCTTCTTGCCTGGCAGCAGGAAGACGCCATTTTGTGGTTTCCCTCAGGTGACAAAATCTCTTGGGCCAGTCCTGCTTTGGACACATGGTACACAACAGTTTGGTCAATTGCAAAAACAAAAGAATTAACTAATCAAATGAAAGTTACTCAAGGCAAGTCAGCTCACTTTTCCTTTTACAGTATGGTTATCAAATTTTTTTCAATGAATCCAGGGACACTTTTTTTGGGGGGGGGGGAAGCTGAGTAGCAACAGGGAGTCAGTAGTGGGGATAGCGAGGCAAAAGCACACATGCATATTGTATAAAGGTGCAAAGCCCTTCTTTCGCACCCTGTGAAACATAAATGCAGTTTTTTAAAAACTGGGCAACAGAGCGCTGCCTGCCCGTGACACCCGAGCCTTTCCTGATCTCCTGCCCCCTTCCTCCTTTGTTTTGACTCATCAGGGGAGGCTCAGGAGTCACGGGCACGCAGCGTGCTGCTGCCCAGTTTTTTAAAGAAACTCTGCACATTTATGTTTCACAGGGTGCAAAAAAAGGGCTTTGCACCATGCCTGGCAGAGAAACCATGCGCCTTTCACCCCTCCTGGGCAACACCCGCCCGCCCGCCTGTGACTCTGAAGCTTCCCCCAATCTGTCAAAACAAAGGGGGAAGGGGGCAAGAGATCTGTACCACCGGACTCCCTAGTTCCCCTTCAGCAGTGGCAGAGGCAGCAAGCCGCTCCTGAAGCCAGCCAGAGCCAACTGCGCTACCAGGCTGGCTCCGGCTGCTGAGGCTGCCACTGCCACTGCCACGTTTCCCGGGGACAGATTTGCAAATCTGGGGACATTCCAGGGATGGAATTTGTCCAGGTACAGATTTGCAAATCCCGGGACTGTCCCTGGGAACCAGGAACGTCTGGTAACCCTATTTTACAGCACTTGGTAACCGTTTCTAGACTAGGTGAAAACAGAAGACCACAAAAGATCACCACCACACTCTCATTTAAGCTTGTATAATGGTTTCTTGAATTAAGCCAATACAGATATATGGAACATTCATAACTTTTATTCTTGTAGCATGTTGTGTCGACTAATATGTTGTAATGTTCTTTGTTGGTTGTATAATTCTGTTGACCTAAAAATGAATAAAAACATGTATATAAAAAACAAAAGTCCTGGCTGGATCAAGCCCTTGGGCCATCTAGTCCAGCATTCGGTTCACAGTGGCTGCCAAGGTGCCTATAGGAAACCCACAAGCAGAACCTGAATGCAATAGTCAGCGCTTTTCCTGCTTGTGATTACTAGCCATTGGTATTCAGAGGCATATTGTCTCCATCAGTGGAGGCAGCCATTGTGGCTAGTAGCCTTATCCTCCACGAATTTTTCTAATCCCCTTGTCAAATCATCTTGTGGTAGTGAATTTCAAAGTTAATTTTCAATGTGTTGTGGAAAGTACTTTGCTTTGTCTGCCCTCTTATCTGATTACTAGAAATATGTATCTACAAACACACACGATTACCATATTCCCCATTGGCCAAACCTCCATATTTCTCATGCTGGTTGGGTGTTGCCATTTAACACTCTTACACAGCTCCTCAGTTTATCCAAGTGAAGGGTTGTTACTTCATCCTGGCCATCAAATGATCAGTCTGATGATCATGGACTTACATTGGGGTGCTGGGCTTGGTGGAGAGGTTTGATCTGCCCAACCTGGTGCAATGTATTTGCCACCAAGATCTGTGGGGTCTTATCTTATGGGGTGCAGGAAAAAAAATCCTGGGAGTGCTGCATCAGACCTGTGCCAGGGGTTATTCATTCCTACGTTATATAAATAATAATAATAATAATAATAATAATTAAAAAAAAAAACAACTTTATCACTAATCGTTATAAGAGAGAACTCTACAACTAGGTCACATTTCAGCAACTTGCACTATGTCTAGATGAGATATATGACAGTGAAATAAACCCACACACTGTTTAAAATCCGTATCCCTCCGGAAGGGGGTTGCCATGCTGTGGCGTCTGAAGAGATAACTACACGGCAGGGAATGAAGACGACAAAATCTCTCAACCTGGCCTACCTCGCAGGGCAGTTGTGCGGACAGACGTAGAGGGGGAATACGCCTTCGCACGCCGCCTTGGCCGATTAAAGCGAAGCGAAGCTGCTAATTAGAACTCTTCCCTGCAGGCGCTGCTCGCTATTTCCTCTGAGGCGAAGCGGCAGGGGAAAGAGAGACCCCCCCCCCCGCTTCCGGCGCCATGATTTCCATCTCATGAGGAGACCCCGTGTAGGAAAGGAGGGAGGCGAGCATCGTGTGAATAAACTGCGCTCTTCGCAGCCTGGGGAACGGCGGAGCCGAGCATTGCCGCGGCGGGAGGTGAGGGCGGTGGCGCGGAAAGCAGGATAGGGGGCGGCAGAGAGGCCGCGGCTTCGGCCGGCCTCCAACCTTGGCGGGCGAGGGCGGGGCGCGTGAAGGGACAGGAATAGACGGGGGGGGGGGGCGGGAGAGAGGCCTGGGCGCCGTGGGGTGAGCTGTCTCGCGGAACTCCCCGCCTCAGGATTTCGGCCTGGTTCGGAGGGTGGGGATAGCCAGTGATCGCACCGGGGGCAAGAAGTACATCAGCAAGCAGTACATCTGCTAGGTAAGCGGGAAGCTAGACTCCCTCGGGAGGTTTCAAAACAGAGATTGCGTGACCCTTTGCTGCGATTCCTGCATCGCAGGCGGTTGGGCTAGATCAGGGGCGTAGCAATGGGGGTGCGGACCGCAGCAGGTGCCAGGCTGAAGGGGGGGGTACCATTTGGCGCGGCCCCCCCCACCGCCCGCGACTCCCCCAAACCCAGAGAGTGGCAAAGCGGCTGCTGCCGCTCTCCCCCTTCCCTCGGCTCGCTGTAGGCTTGGGAGTGGGGGGGGCCGAATGTCACTCTCCTTCAGCCTGAAAAGGGGGGGGGTCCACATTCGGCCCATAGCTGTCAACTTTCCGCTTTTTTTGCGATGAATCCTATTCGGAAAAAGGGAATTTCCCTTTAAAAAAGGGAAAGCTTGACAGCTATGATTCGGTCCCCCCTCCCGCCCGCGACTCCCCATGGGGCAAGTGAGGTGGTCTTGCCCAGTCACAGGATCTGCTGGGAGAGGAGTGTACCAACGTCCGGAAATGGGTAGGGAGGCCGAAGCCAAAACGAGGAACTGAAGCAAATTCTGGTCAGTGTTACCACAGCTTTAAAGCAGAAAGTTTCCAGGGACGAATAAGCTCAATAGCGGCTGGGGAAAGAGCGGGCACTCCCCGCACCTAGATCTGCTAATGGTACGGTCTGAAGAGACTGAGTCCCGCGCATGCGGGAGAGCAGAAACACGGAAATAGGAGAAGTAAAGAGTCAACCCTAGGAGCTTCACTTCCCTTGCGCTGTGTTCGCGGCTGCTCTTTCCTCTCCTCAGCCTTCGCACTAGAGGAGAGGGTTGGAGGAGCCAGGCTGCAAGCTTATGCACACTTCCCCGCGAGTAAACCCGGTCGAAGTTTGTTGGATTTACTTGCTGAGTAAACATTGCTTGGGGCTGCGCTGATAATAGTCCCCAATTTAAAAGGAAGAGCCAGGATAGATAGCTTTCTCCTCTTTTCCTTAAAGATAACTTCATGCACCTTTACCAAGTGCATAATGACAACAACCACACAAAAAAAACACCAGGTGGAGGCGGAGGTTCCCAAGCCTGTACGTGCTTCACCTAAATTTCGTATTGTGCTGCTGCTGTCAAAAGTACAAGCGCCCATCCCTTTAGTAAACTTGCTTTTGGCTAGTGCCTTGTGATGGCTTTGTGGTACCAGATCTTATAACATTTATTTTAAAAAAGAGAAACAGCACCCCAGTGTCCCCCTTCAACCAACCAACCAAAAGTAAATATTCCTGCAGAAAAATACATAAAAAGCAAACCGTAGCTGCGTCTATAGGAAGAATATTCCAAGCTCCACAGTTGGGTAATAACCTTTATTAGGGTCAACTTCAGAAGCCACAAAAAAGGGGGCAAGCTTTAGAATTTCCCAGATAGTTTATGGAGGACTTGAAAGCACAGCCCGTTTCTGTGACACTCCCCCCCCCCTTATTTTATTTTTTAAAACGGACTTTAAATGGCTTGCAACTTACTAGCTGAAACAGGGTTTCAGGTCTGACGGGAGCTGAGCTTGGGAGGGGGCAAAAGGAAAGGTTTTGTGGAAGCTCCTGAAACAGCGATCGAGGAGTTGATGCACGTGCAGAGGAGGAAAAACACAGGGAGAAAGAAATGGCAGGGCAGAGAAAGCTGAAAACAAAGAAAAAAATTGCATATGGAAAGCAGTGAGGAGTCATGGCCAGGGAGGAAGTGACAGCAGATCATGAGCTTAAAATACTTTTATTTAATAAAAAGGAGTGTTCAGGATGCTACTGGTGTTCTCTGGACAGCTATTTTGGGGTGGAGGACAAAGTCCAGAGGGGGCACCTGCTTCCTCCTCCCCTCCACCAATGCTCTGCTTGTGGGCTCCCCAGAGGTGAGAAAACAGGATGCTGGCCTCTTGCTGGGACTCCTCAGAGGAGAGAGGGAAGGGGAAGAGGAATTAGAAGTCAGGCTAGGACCTGGGAGAACCAGGGTTCGAATCCCCACTCAGCCATCAAGCTGCCTGGATGACCTTGGAGCAGTCTCTCAGTGAACCTTGCAAGGTTGTTGTTGTGAGTGGGTTGGGAGAACCATACAGGCCACTGTGACCTTGCAGGAGGTGGCGTATAAATGTAAAAAGTAAAAAAATAAAATAAAGGGCCGTCCCTCTTTGCGTGATTTCCCTCTCCCTCTGCCCAACTTCATCTCGGACTCATGAAAATATTGCAAGCAAGAGTGCTCCTGAGCACATGCAGACAGCACTTTTTCTTCAGTAACTACAGCCAGTCCTGGCACATCAAGATTCAGGGAGGAGGGCTAACCCCTAGGTGAGGAGGCTAGGCAAATTGGAAGTCGATTGAAGGCACCCACAATACGTTTCTTTCGGAAACTCGAGCACCAAGTTTACCCCGTCTCCATTTCTATTATTATTATTATTATTATTATTTTAATTTGTTAACTACCCTTCGCTCTAAGGCCCTGGGTTGGGTTGCAGCCATTTAAAATACAGCGTTAAAAGCAGTTTTAAAATTACAATCACTAAAAATAAAAAGAAACAGCAGCATCTTATAAAAAATACCATTGCTGGGCTTTATAGGAAAAGGTTCTGTTTCGCAGGCGTTAAAATAGTTAGGTGTAGAATGTGATTCTATGTGTGATTATTCAGAAGCAAGACCCCGTATTAGTACTAATGTCTTATTAAAACATCTGAAGCTGCTAAAAGAATGAAGAAACCAGGACTACTTTAACAAATTTATTTAGGGCTCCACATGTCACCATCATAAACGCTAAGCCCTCTTTCTGACGCTAAACTAAAACTTGATGGATTATGATTAGCTTGATAATGGCCTATTTGATGAAATATTCTGCAGGGAGGGGTTCAGCTGGGTCTGTTTATGGATTATTGAAATGGTGTTACTGAAATGTATTGTTACGGTTTTGTGCTACACATTTGTGCCTTAACTTTTTTATAAGTTGTTTAGAGATTTCTTGTAGTAAGTGACTAATAAGTCATATAGGTAGCAATACTAATATTCAAAATGTTTTAAACATTGGAGTAAAATGACTATGGGATGTATAAAATATAGGCTGAGATTATTATTCATTTATTCAACAGAATTTGCATGCCAATTAATTGTAAAGAAAATCTCTTAAGTGGTTGAGTTTAAAGTATGGAACAAAAACACAGTGATCATTCACAAAAAAAGTAATTAGTGATAACAAAATCAGCCTTAATTTGCTATGTTAATTAATATATGTAGTTAGATAGAAAACCACTACGTTTATAGCTATAGCTATAGGCGTGATCTTCTTTTTTAACAATATTTTTATTCATTTTCAAGTTGCACATCACACATAAAACATAACAAACAACACATTAACTACATTGCTTAAAATATCAAATCAGATTCTTACAGTTCACGCCAAAAAACTTCCCACGTATTACCATGAGATATCTGGGGGTTAAACACATAGTCTTCTCAGTTAAGGTTGGGGGGGCTGTTGCCATTGGACAACAGCCCCCCACCCTTGCCCCTGTGGCTTTTTGGAAATCAGGGACCTCTAGCAGCCTAGGCGCTACGTAGGGAGCACGCCTTCCCCTCTGGAACCAGCCCAGACAAGCGGGGAAAGCGCTGGATGCGCCCAGACATTGCTGGCAAGGCGCAAAGGTGCCTTTGGAGACTGGGCCAGCTCCACTGGGTGGGGGTGACAAAAAAAATTATTCATTGGGTACCACCTGACCTTGCTACACGTACTCTGGGCTAGATGACCCGTCAGGACCCCTTTCAACTCCGTGATTCCATAATTCATTAACTGCTTCCTGCACTGCAGGGGGTTGTGGTAGATGACCCTTGGGAACCGCACTCCCACCCTTCCCTCTACAGCGACTCCCTCCCTCCCAGCCCTGCGCATGGCTGCAAGGAAAAGCCATGGGTTAGCCAGGTGAGGTTTAGTCTCTTTCTGTAACTGGCAACTCACACTGGTGTTAAAAGGTGGTGGAGGTGTGGAGGGTAGTGAAGACAAGTGCAGCATGGGCTTAGGAGGAGACTTCCCTCAGAGAGAGAAAAAGGAAAGATCCTGCTGCATGCCACGGGAACTGCTCCCTAGGAAGCATCCTCTCTTAAACCTCCTCCTTGTGGGGATTAGTTTTAGTTCCCAAATTTCATAGTAGTAGCCCTGGGCTGCTTGGCCCTTTGATTAGTTCTGTTTTTCCTCCTGTAGAAACTACGCAAGACCCTCTCCTTTAAAAGTTTACATCAACTTCCCAAGTGTCAAAAAAAGGTTATTTATGTATGCCATTACTGCACCCTGTGTTTTGTTAGCCCCAAAATGGAAAACGAGCGAGGTCCCAACTAAAGGAAGAGTGGCATCTTAAGTTGATGGAATATGCACAACTCACAGATTTAACATATAGAATAAGAGAACAAGAAGAACATACGTTTAGAGAAGATTGGAAAACGTTTATTGAATATATGGGGGGGAATTGTGTACACTTGAAAACGTTAGCAGCATTAAGATAAATTCAGCGGTGTAAATAAGTTTTGAATACTGAATTGTTTAGTTTTTGTAAAAATAAAAAAGCAGGGATTTATGATATGTAAAATGAACCATGGAAAGAGAAGAAGGGAAGGTATTTTAAGGATGTTTAAAGCAGTATTCTAAATTGTAAAAGAAGAAAAGTTATACACCCACCCACACACACAAATAAAGTTTAAAACAACACCTGACTTTTACTTAGCGTACTTGCAGCTGCAGATTAAATAGGTGATACATACGGTGGATGTTTCTTGAATTGCTAACACGGTCTTTCCATAGCTGTCAGCCTTCCCTTTTTTTGCGGGAAATTCCCTTATTCCAGCGCTGCTTCCCGCTGCTGTCCCCAGGACAGGTGAGGCTTCTGATCCCTCATTTTCAAATCTGAAAGTTGACAGCTATGTCTTTCGTAGATTAAAGTGTCACAGACTAACCGACTCTGAGGTGGCACAACAGAACATAACCTGCTGCTCTAACTGCTAAGATGTAACTGCCATAACGGTTCCAACTGCTGCAGGGTGCATGACATCAAAGGGTTCTGCAGCTCTCGCGATTAAACCTTTACGCATGCATTTTGGACACCAGCCTCCTGCCCCCCGCACTTCTGTGCACATGGGACTAAAATGGTCAGCAAAGGGTCTGCTTCGCGAGCCAAGGTGGGCTGGAATGACAGCTATTTGAAATACTGTGCTGTGTAAAATAAAAAGGAGATTCATGTGGTAGTTGAGGATCTCTATGGCATCGCTTAGGGCACACCATTTTAGCAGGCGAGACATAGCTTTAGCAAATGTCCTCAGTGAGAAGAGGTCTTGAAAACATGTTTTTGGGAGTGAGAAGTCCAAATGCGCTGCTATTTACGTGATTTAGACAGCATTTCACTTGGTAAACCTACAATGGAGGAAGAAGCCCATAAACTGCTTTCAGAAACCGAATAATTTCAATTTCACCTTCTGAAAAGTCAGGTAGTGCTTAATAATAATTATATTACTACATAATATAACTGCAACTATTTCGCAATCATTTTTAATGTTTTCTAAACAATTTTACACACATTTTACTTACAAAACTAAATTACATTAATTCAACTGAAATATCTTTTGAATTCCCAAGTCATGTTGCAGCTTTTAAGCACCCCTCATTTTTTTAATTTGGCAGGCAGATTCATGCAATCGCTGAACACTTGCCAAGAGAGAATATGTGTTCCTCATTCTGGTTTTAAATTGTTTGTTTGGAAATAAAGGTGATGCAAGAAAGGACTAAAGAAGTAAAGAAGAATGAAGTTTCCCTGCCTTTCCTTCCGGCAACCTTATGCTGGGTTGGTTTTAAACGAAGTAAAAACAATAGAGACCCGTTGGCGACCATTGCTGGCCCAGTACGAGTCCTGTACCATTGCTGTCCACATTGCTTTTAAAGACTGGGACGACAAAGCCTGGAAAGACATTCTCACAAACAGGCTTGGGATGACAGTGACTCAAATTGAAGAGCTATTGGATGCAGGTGAAAGGTTTGGAAGAGGTGTTGTGGCAGGTAAGTGACAGTGGCTCAACTTTTAAACTTCCAGTAGACATGAAATGCTGACTTTGTAGAGTACAGTCATACCTCGGGTTGAATACGCTTCGAGTTGAGTGCATTCGAGTTGCACTCCGCGGCAACCCGGAAGTAACGGAGCGCGTTACTTCCGGGTTTCGCCGCTTGCGCATGCGCAGACACTCAAAATGACGTCACGCGCAGAAGCGGCGAGAAGCGGCGCGCGCAGACGTGCTGTCACTAGTTGCATTTGTTTCTAGATGCAAAAGGGGCTCTGGAACGGATCCTGTTTGTATCTAGAGGTACTACTGTATTATTATTATTATTATTATTATTATTATTATTATTATCATTTTACTTCTGCCCACCCCAGTCTAAAGAATCTGCTCATATTCTATCATGAGGATGGTGAAAGTACATTTGGGAAAGTATATCCTGCACAGAACAAGGGGAAGGGCAGAGAAACTGAAAGAAGGTTCATCAAATGGTGGGTTGTTACTGCAGGACCTTTCAAGGCTATGACCATAAAGTAGGAAGCAAATGAGCTAAGACAGCCTAGTCCCCTAGTAAATATTCAGGTTACCTCCCTGAATAATAAAAAAGAAAAGTTAACTTTTAAGCCCTTTTACTGATGAAGGTTCAAGGAAAAGCATGCAATCTCTATTTTAGCCAGTTGCACACTGTGAATTTAAAGTAATACACTTAACTTCTGTATTTTATAAGAAACTTAAAGAAGGCCTTTTGTCTTACCTAGCAAGGCTCATTTACCCTGCTGCCTCAGTGGCTAACCAGACTGAGAATCCACACAAGTGCAATAACACTCCCCTGTTTGTGATCTTTCTAATCCTCTCTTGAAGTTTCCCAAGCTGGCAACTAGTGCTACATCTTGCGGTAGCAAATTTCATCGTTTAAGCTTGTGCTGCATGAAGATGCACTTCCTTTTTGCCTGTCCCCAAATTTAGCTTTATTGGTGTCATTAGGAAACTTTGCCATTCTGTTGCTTACACCTAACTCCTGATCATTTATGAACAAGTTTAAAAAGGCACTGGTCCCATAGCACACTGCCTCCCTCTATTGTGAGAACTACCTATTTAATCCTACTACTCTGTGCTTCCTGTTCTTTAACTACCGGTAGTTACTGATCCACTATAGGACTCACTCCCTTATTCCATGACTGCTAAGCTTACTACAAAGGCTGTGGCTGGAAGCACCATTTGTAGCAGGATACAAAGAGGACCAATGGTTTCTATACTCCTCTCATACAGACTAGTAAATAGGTTAAAGAGGGGAAAGGAAGCACTGGGGGAATGTCGCAAAGCAAGGGAAAATGCGTGAGAGAGCTGGAACTATACCACAAATACCAATTCCCCCATCTGTTAGCCTATTGGGTATCTACTTATTGTGAGAGCAAGCAACTTTTCCAGCTGTAGGGTTCCATTTATGGAGTTTGTTCCTTGCGAAGGCTCATGTGGTGTCCACACTGTTATTGTTTAGATTCCAGGAGAAGTCTGCCCACCCAGATCTTTTAAATCTCTTTTATCTCCTGACTTTTTAAAGTTTGATGCTGTCATTAAGCATTGTATTCTTCTTTGTCTTATTACTGTATTTTATTACATTCAGTAAACTGCCCCAAATGCTTCAAACTGAAGGGCAGGATAAAGTCCTGCAAATAAAAATAAATAGGCCAGTAATTTCATTTTTTTAGGAAGAAAATTATAGCAATATTTGTGTTTTAAATACAGGACTAATTGACATTGGGGAGACATCACAGTGCCCAGAACTCTTGCCTCCTGAAGACATTTTGGCACTAGAAAATAAAGCCATCCTCTCAGGCCTGGAGCAGAAATACCTGACAGTTATTTCAAACCCCAGATGGTTGTTGGAACCTATTCCTACACGAGGACGCAAAGATGTCTGGCAGGTGGACATCCCAGATGAATTGATTCCTTCTTTGGACTACTCCTGAAGATTTTTTTCTTTATGGTCCCTTAACTCTACATTTTCCAAGCTACTGAAGTGGAATCATTTTCTTCTACTGGCCTTAATGTAGACCACTATTATAAAGTGAGCAAGTGCCTTATACCTTGGTGTTATCACTCTTGCAAATGGAGAACATTAATGGAATAGTTGGGGTCACCAGTAAAAGTATGCTTTGATGAAGCTTCTTAGATGTGGATTATTGTGAATTATCCATCTTAGGTCCAAGCTATCTGAAACACCGTATCCGCCCACACAAACCTGCCCAGATGTTGAGATCTTCATGGGAGGCCTTTCTCTTTGTTCTGCCACCTTCACAGGCATGCACAGGAGGGGATGTGGTGGAGGGCCTTCTTGGTGGCTGCTCCCAGACTTTGGAACTCACTTCCTAGAGAAGCTAGACTGGCTCCCTCCTTGTTGTCCTTCTGCCAACAGATGAAAGACATTTTTGTTCCAACAGGCTTTGAGAAACTGACTGCTTTTAATGAAAGGGCTGGTGCCATGCCGTTTTTCTGTAATTATTGGCATGTTTCAAACAGGTCTTAAATACGTATGTCGTTTTAATTCTATCATTGTTTAATTGTAGTTTAATAATTGATTTTCCTGTTTTTAGTGGTTCTTGTTTTTATCTGTAAACCACCTTAAGTTCCATCGGGGGGGGGGGGAAGAGGAGTATAAATAAATATTAATCATCATCATTTACATGCACATTATGGAATATTAAACACTTTTTCTTAATTAAGTGAAATAAACAGATAATCAGTTAATCCCACTCCCTCCCCCAGAGCTTTCACTCTTAATTCCTCTGCACCTATTGGGTCTATGGTCTCATCACAAATGGCTAATCCATGCCCTCCACCCCTTTTTTAGTAAACTCATTTAAATGCTCCATTCAGAGTCTTCCTCACTACTTTGCAACTGCCCTTTCAGCTTCCTATGCCCTTTGTGCTATTTGTGGATGTAATGCTGTACACAGTACTATGCTTCTATAGAAATGAATCCTGTTACAGTGGTACCTCAGGTTACATATGCTTCAGGTTACATACGCTTCAGGTTACAAACTCTGCTAACCCAGAAATAGTACCTCAGGTTAAGAACTTTGAGAACAGAAATTGCACAGCAGCAGCGCAGCAGCAGCTGGAGGCCCCATTAGCTAAAGTGGTGCTTCAGGTTAAGAACAGTTTCACGTTAAGAACGGACCTCCGGAACGAATTAAGTACTTAACCCGAGGTACCACTGTACTTAGAAATGCTATGGATGTTTATTAAACCTGCTAAGGAGGATGTGGTCTACTTTTCTTTAGATCAGGGGTGGGTAACTGATAACACTCCAGTTGTTCGTGGGGTAGAGTTCCCATCACAGCTGGCCAGCAGTCATCCTGGCTGGTGCAGATGGGAACTGGAGTCCAGCAACATCTACAGTGCCAAAGGTTCACCATCCTTATGTTTATTTATGTTTTATTATGCTGCTCAGCCACACTCCCTTTCCCCATAGGTCAGTGGTGGGCTCTGCTATGTTGACCAAGACTAAGGATGAGGACAGGAAATGCCACCTCAATGACCTTGGCACCATAGGGATGTAAAGGTATTTCTGCTTCCCATACCGGAGTTCAATGTGATGTTTTATTCTAAGAATGTTTGGCAGGTCACTTGGGCCTCTCAGAGGTATAAAGTGAGATTTTTTAGCATTCTGAATTTTCTTTGGGCCATTGCATTTTTAGTGTGCGCATATAAAATCATCTATGTAAAAAGCATTTATGAGTTATGACAGCTAGTTAAGATTCACATGGATTGCACCATTTTTAGAACTCCCCTACTAATTGAAATTGAAATACTTTATTGTCACTTGTACAACTTGTATACTGTGAGATTACACGAGCACCCCCCACTCAGCTCTCTTAATTCCCCTCGTTTACTGACACTCACCCACATTGTTTTCCTCTGCAAAATGAGCTACGGGACTCTGCAGCTCCCAGCCCGGAGAACTACATTTTGGCACCTGAGGCGAACCACAAAATGGCGCCTTCCCTCCCCACCAGAAAAGAAAGGGTGATTGAAGATAGACATCAGTATCTGCTGCCCTGTGAATCCTGCTGCCTAAGGCAGTCGCCTCACTTTGCTTCATGGGTGGGCCAGCCCTGAAGTGAGCCCTGGCAAGCAAAGTATTTCAAAAAGTGAATATATCCATTCTTTCCTTCTTTCTGAGTAATTCTGGACATCTTAAAAGCTTGTTACATCTACAGGTAGATGTTAATATTTAACAGTCCAACTGCTCTTTTAGAATATGACAAATTATTATCTATGCTTTAATATTACTATGTAATTTACTTGCTATTATTGTAATTTTGATATAATGTGGCATCCAGTGTACCAGTACTTCTGAAATACTCCACAATAAAAACAGTAGCTACATTTCAATACAGTACTGTATATGAAAGTAGGATTATTAGAAACACTGGTTTTTATTTCAAAACATTTGTTGTTGTTCTTCCAGACATGTATTTGCCCAATTATCTAGAATCTAGATCTCATAACAGAAGCTGGCGCCATGACAGAAATCTGAAGCAGTTTATAGATGAATGTCAAACCTCATAATGAACACACAATATATTATTTATTATTGCATCATATTAGGATCTTTGGGGGAGGGGATTCTGTTTCATTGAGTATCTGCACACTGTCCTAGATTTTAAAAAGAGCATATATTTAAAAAAATATACAAAATAAACACATGAAAGAATTAAGTAACAAACATGAGGCTTTCACTGTAAAGCAAAACGCCGCTTTAAAACTGGCTGAAAACTACCACAACGGTTTCTTTCACGTCTTTTGTGACCTTAACATGTCAACTGTGCAGCAGTGAATGTGGCAACTTCCCTGGCTTTTTATAAAATCCAATCATTGGTTATTCAATGTCAGAGCTGGCTTTTCATGCTAAGTATTTGCTTAGGTTGGGGATGAGAGAAGAAGGCCCATATATGATGTGTTCCTTTACTATTTGCTTGGATGCATATTTATTCTAGCACCATTTAACAAAAAAGAAGGTGGAGAGCAAATTTCAAATTCCTTCAAGGTACAGGAACGCTAAACTCAAACCCTTTAAAGATCCTAACTATCCTGTCTTTGATCCCTTCATAATAGAGCTTCTCAGCATTGCAGGTGCTGACCTGTTTAACTGCAATACAAACATGACAAACTGAAATGTGCAAACTATAAATATGGCTATAAATGCAATAGTGGGTAATAATAAATGAAGTTTTAAAAGTTGGACTTGACATACCAAATGCAAAGGAGTTTCTTCAACTACTGGCACTGACGTCCTTCACAGGTTTAAGTAGCCAATAACTCTGTCCCATGGTTTCTCCTTTTGGAGATGATGATTAATTAATTATTTAATTTAATTTAATTTCTATACCATCCTTCATCTGAAGATCGCAAAGTTGTTTACAATATAGAAACAAAAAAGTAACATAGTAAAGAAAAACACACACCCCACAGACAGTTTAAAAGGCCTTAGCCAAAGGCCTGCTTAAAGAGAAACATTTTCACCTGGTGCTTAAAGATATGTAATGAAGGTGCCAGGCGAGCCTCTCTGGGGAGAATATTCCACAAGTGGGGAGCCACTGGAGAAAAAGCTCATATTTGTGTTGCCACCCTCCAGACTTCTCATGGAGGAGGCACACAAAGAAAGGCCTCAGGAGATGATCTCGGGGTCTGGGTAGGTTCATGTGGAAAGAGGCGGTCCTTGAGGTATTGTGGTCCTGAGCCATTGAGGGCTTTGTAGGTCAAAACCAGCACTTTGAATTGGGCCAGGAAACTAATTGGCAGCCGGTGCAGTCAGGCCAGGATTGGTGTTACATGCTCAAACTGTCTTGTCCTGGTGAGTAACCTGGTGTCTGAATTCTGCACCAGCTGAAGCTTCCAAACCATCTTCAGAGGCCACCCCACATATAACATGTTCGCATAGCAGCTATTTTAATACACACCAGACCTCATTTTTTGACTGTTAACTAGAACTAACACACTCTTCTCCCCCACCCCATCCCACCCCACCGCTCGTATCGTATTATTTAATTCAACATGTCATCTAACATGTCAATGAGGCCAACGCCTGTTATTATGCTCTGTTGGTTTTGTAGCAGTTATCATTGACTCTGCTGAACTCTCAGTGTACTTTATTTTGGTGTAGAAGATGCTTATTGGAAACTTATCCTTTTTTGTTTTTGATTGCATATCAAACAAAACATGTGAAAGGTTTACAAAGGACAGTATTGAATGAGAGATAATTCAAGTGTCTCCATCAAAATCTGCCCTCTCCCGAAATAAGAGGGTGTGTTAAGTATACCTGGCAAAGCCATTCCTTCTTAGGTTATAGTGCTACTCACTCATTTTTAGAACTTCAAACTAGTTTTCAAAACCATCTTGGCCATTTGTTTTCTCATGCCATCATAAAGCATGAGGTGCTCCTATTTTGCTTGGGCTGTATAGTTCAGCTAATGCATTCCTTCTGGTGGCAATCCACTTGCTTCAAATACTCCCATTGGATGACAGAGAAAACTCCCAAGTAAGTGTGCATTACAGTTTTCATCTGCAGGAACAGCAGAAAGCTGGCAACCCAAATAAAATTTACTATTATCCTACTATTCCCCTTTTAAAGTCTACACTTCACACAACCAGACCATTGTAGGAAGCAAGTTACTCCTAATCCCTCTATGATGAAATACAAACAGTTAACCTAGGTAGACAAGACAGGAGGAAAGGAAAGAAAGAGGTTTTATTCTTCAGTCCACGTCATTCTGATTTTCTCTATTTTAAAAAGGGGTGGGGGTTTTCCAGTCTGCCCTCTGTTTCATCGATGGTAACCACTGTAGTCTGCCGCTTTGGGTCCAACTCCTTTGGAAGCAGAAGTAGCATTTGAAGCACAGTTGCAATTAGGGCAATGGTGGTATGAAGGAGTTCGATGATGATGGGAAGATCTTGACATGGAAATGGCAGAAGCCGCTGCTATCATGGGCATGGAAAACCATGGGTTACAGAACGGGAGTAAACTGGCCCAATGAGCCTGCATGGCTGATAAGTCTGGGTACATGGTTGGGAAGGCTGGCAACCCCATCACCGGTGCAAAGGGGCTGTTGGGTACAGGAGGTATGACATGATACAAAGAGGTAGCAGATGTCGTGGTGGTCGAGTCTATCTCATGTGTGTTGACTCGAGCATGATTGGTGTGCTGGGGCAAATGGAAAGGAGCTAGCTGGTTCACTTTGTTGTCATTGTCCTCCGGGGCTGCCTGGTCAGAGGACCTCAAAGGGGTTGGAGGGGAAGCAGCGTATCCACTTCTCAGCCGGGCTGCTGCTCCAGCAAGGCCCTTTGGCATAGTAGGTTTTCGGAGTCCAGCTTTGTGCATTTTGTCCTTTGGGGAAGCTGCAAGGAAGTTACTTTCCCTAGTAGCAGGTCCCAGAGTAGTTTGACCTTCTGGGCTTCTTGACCTGCTCTTCAAGCAGCTTTCACTGAAGTCCTCATCTAAGGAGAAAGCAATAGGTGGTGTGTTTTTGATCCCAACTCTTCTCTTGCACCTTGCAAGAAGGTGAGGACAGCCTCTCTTAAAATTTGGGTTGTGGTAGAACTGTAACTAGAATAAAAACAGAGGAAGAGATGGAGTTAACATAAGGCTTCAAAGAGAAATGCAACAGCGAAGCAATGCAAAATGACAGTCTCCATTGCGTATGTTTCAATTTTCACACAATGGCTCTGAAATGTGGGATTCTACATCCTACATCTCTATTGATTCAGTTCTGTAATCTTATAATTATAAACTGAGTTGGTGGAAACTGGCATAGAGTTTGCTACAAACCGGGAGGAAAGAATTTGGTGGCGCACATGTTGTCAGCATAATGCCTTTGGGAGGCTTAATAAAAGGAAACAGTAGCTAAGTGATATATTTTCAAAACTCGAGTACAGATCTTGTTAAATGTACAATGAGCTCAGAAACTACAAAGGGAGTGGATGTATTGTTCTGAAGAATCTAGACTTAAAATCCAGAATATAGGTTTTTCAGATTCAGGTAGGTAGCCGTGTTAGTCTGACGCAGTCGAAATATATATTAAAAAATGTCCAGTAGCACCTTAGAGACCAACTAAGTTTGCATGCACACAAAAGCTTATACCCAGAAAAACATAGTTGGTCTCTAGAGTGCTACTGGGCAATTTATAAATTTTTTTATAGGTTTTTCAGATTAACGTCCTGCCCCCTCCCTAGTAGGATGCTAGGGATTAATGTCATAGGGAATCTGTGGCCTGTTTCCCCATTAGGGGTAATAGGCATGGCCCTACTAATTCTACTCTGTCCTCTGTCCTCCCCCACCAGCCCAGGGAGTAGCACTGCCTGTCAGTTTTCTCCTTCTTAGTGTCAGTGTTGTCCTTGCAGAACTCAGCAGGGAGGAAGATGGGAACAAAACTAGGAATAGGTGGCTCTGACCACTTACCGTTGGTCTCCCTGCTTCCCACCCTACCACATTCCAACGAGCACCAGCCACCGCTTCATAGAATTCTTGAACAAGTGCACATATTAGTTGGTTGCTGTAGCAAATAAACCATTTTGTTTGTTTGCAACTAAACTGAAGTATTTATACTAAACAGAAGCATAATAGAAAACCCCTAGTCACGTATCCCACATGCCTTCTGCACTAAGAATTTTTTATCTGTTTGGGGAAACAGTTGCAAAACTAGATGGTTTTTGTTTGCCCATATAGGGACACCTTTAGCTTCATAATTTATCTGAAGATGAAGTGCCTAGAACATTCCTGAAACAAGGACTGGCAGTTACTGGTAAAAAGTCTTTCTCCAGTCATAAAAGGTTCAGGATGCGTGGTTGTCAATTTGAATAAATGCCATATTTATATTTATTATTATTCCCCCTTCTTTAACTCAATGGGCATAGTCCAGGAAAATTTAAATGCTTCTATATCCCATTGGTTTCAGTGAGAGATATGTACACAAACTGCATCCTATGCACATTTAATGGGGGGTAAGTCTCAACAGACACCCATAGGATTCTGTTGTAAATATTTCATGCTGTAATAGATGGTTTAGGAGTATTTAACTTTTAAGAGACAGAATGTAGATCTGAAATGCATTGATATAACTTCCATTTATCCAATCTAAATAATCTGCTGTTTTGTGCAGTCTGTGCACAGCATTAAGCTCACACAGAATGTGTTTTGCTGCTATATTTAGTATTCACACTAAACAGGCACTAACCTTATGATGACATTCCTGAGCAATTTCCATTTGCGTGAATAGCTCTTCCTTCCGGATACTGTACCACATAGTTTCCTTCCCCCTTTATCAAGGCCTTTCAATTATTTTGCTTAGTTGATTTAGTAATCAACATTCATCTCTTCATGGAATTCTATGAGGCCACCTCCTACATGTATTTTGAGATTTTGAACATGCTTTCCCATCACAAGATCCTTTACAGAACTAGCTTTCATTCTGTTTATATTTAATGTGCCTCAGTGTTCACATCTACAGGGGTACTGGCTACATCCAAATTTGACTTCAAAAATGAAAATAAAGACCTAGTAATCTTTAAATTAGGTAGTGCAAAGATTCAGGGAAGTAAGCTTTCTTAAAGAAATATAACATTAAGGATTGCAAAGGCATCATAGAATTATAGATGCAATGCAAGAATAAGCAGGTGGCCTGTTCGATGATCAAACCTGTGACCTTTTCATTATCAGCACCATGCTCTAACCAACTAGAGTTGTGCTCTTACACTAACTGCAATGTATAATAGCCAGCCAGCCATTTTTTTTCTGTGCAAGTTGCAGTCCCTAATTGCAAAGTACAATATGAAGTACACTTTCCCAACTTATCCAGAAAAGCCTCTTGTCACAGCAAAAGTTGGTCAGCTTTTGAGAAGCTGCCATAATGAATCATGAGCGGCCTGGCAGAGCATCACTCAAGATGCCTTGAAGAGAGCTTGTGAGAATTAAGAGCAGATACAGAATGAACTGTATTCATTGTGAGTGGCATATAGTGAGGATGCTTTTTAGCTATTATCTTAGGTTTCAGTGGATTTGTCAGTCCCATGCTGAATGAATTTATCTAATTCACATGACAATTAAATTAACCCCTCCTTTTCAAATATGTTTACCAGCTTAAAAAGAAAAGGAGGTAAAAGCTTTGAAGTAGGCATTATTGTGTTGTATTTGGGGAATGGGGAAACATTAGCGACTTTCTGGATTAACCTAATTACTAACACTATATACATTGTCTCAGTTGTGTCCACTCAATTGTGTCCTGGCCTTGAAGTAGCTCAATATCCACTATTTTTCCTCATTCTCTTAAGTACCTGTTTCCATACTGTGTTGCTTTTTTCCCTTTTCTGGAGAATGACTGATCTTGCACAGTATTAAACACAAACAACCTGTGAACTTTGAGCAATGTCTACCTTTTGAAAACCACACCATGGTCTTACCTTGCTAAATGCATAAGCAGCTTTTTCTTCTGCTAAAAATTCGACAAGGGAGGCAGACCTTTGAAAATTCTGTCTCATCTTGCTAAAGCCATAGAGATTGAGCTGACGAATGAAGCTTTTCATACAGTCAGTTTCAAAAATGCGCAGTGGTCCTTTCCTCTCTAGAACCTCCTTTTTAAAAAGTTCTTCATCTATCACTACACAATTCCCATCGTCATCCCACCACAGTGACTTAAACTGATCACTTTCAACAATTTTCCAGAGTTTCTTTGGGAAAGTGAGGGATAGGAAATCATTGTCTTCAAGAGAACCATCATCACAGAGAGTAAGCCGTGGTCTTTTTGCCCAGGGTCCATCATTCAAAGCCTGAAAAGCATTTTCTTCAATCATAGACCTCAAGACTGTGTCACCAGCTGCAGTTTTATCATGCAACGGAGTAGATGAAATTGAGATTGCAGAATGAACTATTTCATCTTCAGCTGAAAAATGTTGAGTCTGTGCAGCAGGAAGGTCCATGTCTATTTCTCTCTTCTCGTTCTGGTAATTTTTTTCAGCTGTAGCCATTTATACTATTAGTCAAACCATGCTGATAAGGCAGCAGCAGGCCTATTAAAAATGATGCTAGCTTGTAGGGAGCTTCAATAGGGAGTTCTAGAACATCACAATGAGACCTATCTTGTGCAGGTGTGACATCACAAAATGAACTCTGGTTTCCTAGCGAACGATTTCATAATGACTGAACAGTATTTATGCATCTTCACTGAACAAGGAAAATTAGGACAAAGCCTATCAAATATTTGCCTTAAAATATGCACCATAAAAGCATCACATATCCACTGGACTTTAATTCCAAGAGTGAGGGCACAAGCAAGTTCATACTTCCATTTTTTAAAAAAAGAAAATTTGTTTGTGTAATTTCCTGCACTTGGATAAAGGTGGTTTTACTCGAGGTGTTGCATGAATGCTATACAAAAAACCCCGCCGCACACTCTCTTAAGAAAAGTGAATTGTGTCAATACCACCACTGCATGTAACACAGTTCAGAACAAAATTGGGGTATAATAACCCCAGAAACTGGAGTTATTCTAGGCTATTTCAATCTGTAATTTTATAGTAAGGAACAGAAAGCTAAGAACACACCTTCCTGCTCTTACATAATAGGAAGCATGTTTGACTTGCTAGATCCACCTTGTTGTTCTGTGTATCGTAATTGTACATCCTCATTTACAAGCAAAAGTTCATTAACAATTTAGGTGTAGAGTGCCAAACACTACTTCAAGTCTCCACTCCCTCCAGCTAATACTATTTGCCTAATACATACACTAAAGTTAAACACTAGATGCATACTGAACCTTGGTTAAATACATAGCTTTATGAGAAATATGCAAATATGGTTACATGTGCTTAAAATTTGTCACCTGGTGAAGAGGAAATCTGTTCCAGGCAAGCTTGTGAATAAGAAGGAAGCAACTTCTCATTTGCTATTCCAGTACAAGCCCTGCCTGCACTGAATTCTCTATCATCGTAAATAAATCGTTCCTTTTTCAGACAAAGGAAGTTTTATGCCAAATTTCAAGCAACTTTGTTGTACAATAACAGAAAAATGGCTTGGGTTAAACATGGAATGGCTGTTTCCAACCTAGCTGAAGAATGGAGCATGAAAAAGTGACCCTAAATGCGAGGAAACGCTTCCATGTGGCACTGCCCTGCTAGAAGTCTTCTGCAAGTGTTCATAGAACAGAACCACTAAGTTTTTGCTTTCCGCTCAGTTTTTGAACTGAGCACAATAGGACTTCTTAAGTTGATTTTTACTATTGTCATTTAGAACCTAAATGGTAAATCTAGAGAATGCCCATGTCATCACAAAATGGCTTATAAATGAATCCTATGTCATGTATTTTTCTTCCATTAAAGATCAGGAATTTTACCAAACAAAATATGGTACTTCATCATGGGCACATCCCAACCCTGGTTCCTAAACAAATCAGGGAGTTTGGAAGTATGTCTATGAAACTATAGAGTTATTATATGCTTTGTAGAAAATAGAGAGCTAAGCAAGCAATACAGGATACTTTATTGACCAGCCAAAAATTTGGAGACTGAGAAATAAGATTAACGAACAATTACATTTTAACAAAAGTGGAAAAGCAACTTTTCAAAAAGCTAGTACTTTCCCTTTTCCTCTACAGTACAAAGATTGTGGTTATTTACACAATAATTTACATATCTTTATCAAGGTAATTTGATCCATTAACAGTGGAAGAACCTAGAAGTCCTACCTGAGAACATGCTTGAAGCACAGTGTTCATGGTTTAATAGTGAAATTAAGAGGCTAAGGAGCATGCTGATATACCACCGTGTGACTATGGTATATTAACATAAATGGAAGTTGAGTGTACAGATTGACACAAAATATGTCACTCACAATAGATTATGCATTTCACACAGCCCTTTAAAAAAATACTTTTACATATTTATACTGTACAGTTTTAAAATATATTACATTGCCAAAATTCACATAAATACTATACAGGCAAGCTTTAATTAAAACAAAGCAGGAAGATTAACAAATAAAGCCGCATTTTCCACTTCTCTAAAACACTGTGGGTACAATCCAGCCCACAAGTTACATGTGTGCAAAGGCCACTGATTTCAACATGCCTTGCCCATCTGTAACTAGGCAGGTTTGATGCTCATTAGGTAGGATAGTTATTTTAAATTCTTAATTGTACTGTGTAAAAACTTGGACTCCGTAGCTAACAAACTCTACACTGATGGTTCAATGCTCACGGCCAAACGAAGAGTATATGCCATAAACATGAGACCTGATAAAATGCTTTCCATTTGTGAACCTTAACCCAGCTATTGCATTCTCATTTGTTTTACTGGCATGGTATTTCATATGCAAATACACTGAAACTCTCTATTAAAACAAATCTACATTATCTACATTACAAGCCATTAAAGCAGACACTGCTATCCATAAACAAAAACGAAGGCATGACATAAAAGTTGGCCACTGATTCCCAGTTGTGATTTAACAGGGAGTTGTCAGTCCTAGCTATGTGCTACATGGCCGAGTTCACTTTTAATCTGGCATATCAATGTTTAATTTGGGAGGCGGTATAACGTATTTCCCAGGACTCTGAGTAATGACCACTCCAGTCTTCTTCCGAAACATTGGAGCTATTTTCGGAGGTTCTGGGACAGGAGTTTCTTCTGCCTCTTCATTATCTTCATGATGCAGATCGTAAGAAATATTGCCGTACTCTCTTAGGAATGGGAAAATTTCAAGTAGAAACTGACAGAAGTCTTTGCGGATTCCAAACCACCCTGTACAAACAAAGGATTATTGAGACCTTCAGTCTAAAATGAAATTGACCAAAAACCAAGAAGCAAAACAAACAGACCTCTTTCTGCTGCACGTAAAAATGAAAGGATGTTATTTCAATATGAGAAGAACAAGGAGAAGGCTTCTCTGCAGAATACTTACAATGATTGCCTCCTTTCTGTCCAAATGTTGTTGCCATTAAAGTTATCAGTGAGAGCCAGAGAGGAACAAATATGGGAATATATGAGAATGTATTGTGTCCATCCAATCTGTGCACAAGCAGGATCTAGAAAGACAATTAGAAAGTTTCAGTTTCAAGCTTAATACATCCCCTTCCTTACGAACACAGGATTATTTTAATGTCCTAGGCACCAGGCTAGCAGGTGGCTGAAATTCCTAGGCATCATGACCATGAATGTGAAATTTTTCCAAACCTAGTAGGAACCCAATTCTAGACATTATCTTACATTCACAGGTCTCATAGGGCTAGCAATCTTTTCAGACAGCCATGTGTCTGTTTTCAAGAAGGCCTTTTTCAGTCATGACTGCATATTTGACACAGTTTGGTACTGGGTGGAGAATACTGACAGCCTCAGTAGTTTACAGTACTTGCAACTACAAATATAGTTTGAAAATGTATTTGTAGTTGCAAGTACTAGAAACTAGTTGCAAAATAACTCTTTGCAACTAGAAGTGAAAAAAGCTATGCAAGATGCCTATGCACAAATGTGCTTAGTATGTACAATTTACAGAGATCACAGAATTCATAATCCTCTCACACAACTATCAACACCGCTCTAGAAATTAGGCACTCAATACTCATTGTTATGCCCTCCCAACACTAAGACACACTCCCCATTTTGATGTGAAAATCTTATTCACAACAGCAGCTCCATTTGCAACTGTGACTGCCTCTAAAAAGGCACACTATTAAACGAACTGTGAATGATCTCCCTGACAATATTCCAACCTCACAAGGTAAATAGATAGTTTTTTGCTTACTTCAAAGGTGAGTAATGGAACTACGATTGTCATCCAACTGATGGCCATTGTTATGTGAGTTCTTCTTTGCTCAGCAATCACATCCATTGAGCGTAAGAATAGGACTGACCAGACAATGTAATAGAGCACAACCAAACACAGAAAGGACATCAGGATCCACAGAGGGACACAGACAACCTGCAAATAAAGTAGGGAGAGAATGCTTTCACTTATCAGTCAGGAAAGCTGCCCAGTTTTCCTATGAAGGTAGTACCAGTTCTGAAATTTGTCATTATGTTTGAAAATCCTTTCAGTGCAGCTCCTTTAAAACCAAACAGAGACTCTTTACCTTTAACAACAGTCATGCAATCAGATGAACCTACCTCAAAGAACACACAGTACTTGGAACTATAAATCTATCTCCTCCCCACCACAGCTTTAAGAAGTTTTGCCTTAGTACAATACTTAAACAAGATTTATTTTAAAAGATGAACTTTGCTTCACTCGAAGTCTAAAACTTAGAGAGGAGTTTCTTCATGTACCCATATACTAGAAAGTGGTGTAGGGTGAGGGGTATAATATAATGGAGATATCAGTCCGGGGGGGGCGGGCAACTGGTTTCACAGAGCTTACACTGTCAATACTGTCTTCATATGGAAGACGCATTATAAAGCAGGAGACGAAGATAAAACCACCACCAATGTGTTTGATGTCTTTCAATGTAATTTGCACCTTACATTCTGAAGACCATATCAGACACACATCTGAAAAGGAGACCTTTATAGTTTGTCCTTGCAGCACAGAAACCCTTATAACGTCTTATGGACATCACGGCAGCCTAAATTTCATTTACTGTTTATTCTGCTCACGTCTTTCTTTATCTTCTCTGTATGAAGCGTCTTCCAAACTCTTTGTTATTCATCCGAGGCCCTCTGAATTCCCACCACCACCTGAATAAGTACATGGTGACCACAAAGAGAGCTTTCCCATAGACCGTACCTTAGATATAGAATGCCTGGAACTTACTTATGGATTTTAGAAAGCAGGCAATTTTTTTAAAAAATTGCCAAGGTATTCCATTATGTTTTTATCACAAGTTTTAAGGTTGCTTTATGATTTTAGTGATATTTTTGAGGGTTTTGCTACAGCTTATGTGCTTTTCATTATGATTTTGCCATACTTGTTTTTTAGTTGTATGTCACCCTGTTAATAAAAGTGTGGCTTGTAAATTGAAGAAACAATAAATACAGAAGGCTCACCTACTATTTACGATGCATCTTAAGGTTTGTTAAAACAAGTGGTCAATTTGCTCAAGTTTCCGTGTATGCCATAATTAAAAAACCCATTTTCCTTAGATAGCCATCACACTTAGCATTTGCATAAAACCTTAAAACTTTGAAAATAGCATTAAAAATGAGCACAGTTTACGTACAAGCCATGGCCACTTGATAATTTCATCCAGTCGGAGTGCAATGAATATGAACTGGAGAATATTGACAGAACACAGGATTTCCAGCTAGGAAACAATAAAAGCAGGCATGTCAGAATCAAATAGGGTTTTATCCCCACCCCCCTAGAATGCTACCACAGTCAAAATACACTCAACACAGCACCTGTACATAATTTTTGAGCTAAACATTTTGCTCCTTGAAGGCAATTCGATAATATATTATGAGTGTGCCACCACAACTGAAACATAAACAGGAAGTTAATAAGGCCCTTCGGGCATTCTAGCCTAGGGGCCAAATCTGGCCCCGTAGGCCTCCTCATTTGGCTCATGATGCCATTTTTGGGAAGCCATGCCCACCCTGCACCTGACATCATACACTATGTCCTGCCTACCTGTCAAATTTGGCTCATTGGGGCCAGGGCATGCTGAAACTAAAAGTGTGTTTCTGTGGTTTTCCATAGAAAACCTGTCTGGGGCAGATAAACCATATGACTGAATTTAGATGTAACACCCAGCCAAAGTATGGTATAGCTCAGGGCAGCAGGCCTGAAGTAGGAAAGCCACCCTGATCAACTCTATAGGAGCCAGGACAATTACTTTTCCATGCTAAGCAATATAATATGATATAATATATACATCTACTAAAAATTTATTTGCAACATGATTCAAAAGAAAACTGAGATGGAAACAGAAATTTTCAGTTTATAAACTTCAATTATAAATTAGAGCCCTCAACCCCCACCACAGCACTGACCCACCCATCCAGCAGTCTCACCTCCAGAGATCTGTCATGCCGAAAGCCCCAAACACAAGCTGCAACGGATACTGGAGACACAAAGAACAATGGCATGAAGACTAGAAGCCAGAAGCGGGTTCCTCTCTCAATCCCATCACAGACTAGCACTTCAAACATCAGCAATAACAAGTGGATGCCAACTGCAATTAACATGGCTTTGAACTCCACACATGTTTCTCCTTCTGCACTAAAGGGGGGCAGAAAAAAAATATATACAGTATTATGTTAGATGAACAATACAACTTTGTCCACACATTCACGGGGATTTGACTTAGCCTGCTCTCTACATATTACTTATACTTTCTGCAAAGATGCTATACCCTTATGGGAAAAGGTCACCTGTTGTGTTCATGGGGTGTACATAGATAAGTAACCACAGGATAATTGCTAACATGCCATCTTCCAAAGTGGCACTAACTGCATAGAGGACTTGTTTTTGTTTTGTTTTTTGGTTAAGGTCATCTACTAAACTACCATGCTCCTATCCCCATCTGAAAAGCAGTACTGCGAGGGAACTAAGATTGTGTAGCAACAGGGCCCACACAAGCACTCTCAGTGGTTATACAGCGGTACCTCAGGTTACATACGCTTCAGGTTACACATTCCGCTAACCCAGAAATAGTGCTTCAGGTTAAGAACTTTGCTTCAGGATGAGAACATAAATCGGGCTCCGGCAGCGTGGCAGCAGCGGGAGGCTCCATTAGCTAAAGTGGTGCTTCAGGTTAAGAACAGTTTCAGGTTAAGTACGGACCTCCGGAACGAATTAAGTACTTAACCTGAGGTACCACTGTACCACAAATTTTACATGAATTAACCCACAGATTATTTAAAAACACAAAAAGTATATTACTCTTACCGATACTGTGGGTTTCGTGCCCATACTCCAGTTCCTACTGAGGCACCCACAATTACCATCAACTTCCACAGCCATATTGGAGCAAACACTGCCCAGTAGCTCCACTGAATCTTGTCATCCAAACGAAGAGAAAGCAAAACTGAGAAGAGCAGCAGGCAGGCATAGATAAGAAATTTGCTGGGGGGGGCATTAAAAAAGAGAGAGAATGATTTATTTGTACACACTAGATTGTAAAAAAATCAAAGCAGTTTACAAAAGATAAAGCAGTAGAACCAAAAAGAGTTTACTACCCTACTTTAAAACATGCAAAAGTTAAAATACTAAAACAGATTAATATTACCTCAACTTTCCAAGCATCTGGGTAAAGGTAAAGGGACCCCTGACCATTACATCCAGTCATGACCGACTCTGGGGTTGCGGTGCTCATCTTGCTTTATTGGCCGAGGGAGCCGGCGTACAGCTTCTGGGTCATGTGGCCAGCATGACTAAGCCACTTCTGGCAAACCAGAGCAGCGCACTGAAATGCCGTTTACCTTCCCGCCGCAGCGGTACCTATTTATCTACAGTGGTGCCCCGCAAGACGAATGCCTCGCAAGACGAAAAACTCGCTAGACGAAAGGGTTTTTCGTTTTTTGAGCTGCTTCGCAAGACGATTTTCCCTATGGGCTTGCTTCGCAAGACGGAAACGTCTTGCAAGTTTGTTTCCTTTTTCTTAACACCGTTAATACAGTTGCGACTTGACTTCGAGGAGCAACTCATAGAACGCGGTGTGGTAGCCTTTTGAGGTTTTTAAAGACTTTGGTGATTTTTGAAGCTTTTCCAAAACTTTCCCAACACCGTGCTTCGCAAGACGAAAAAAATCGCAAGACGACAAAACTCGCGGAACGAATTAATTTCGTCTTGCGAGGCACCACTGTACTTGCACTTTGCAGTGCTTTCGAACTGCTAGGTTGGCAGGAGCTGGGACAGTGCAACGGGAGATCAACGGGGATTTGAACCGACGACCTTCTGATCGGCAAGCCCTAGGCTCAGTGGTTTAACCCACAGCGCCACCCGCGTCCCACATCTGGGTAGGCTTGTCTAAATAGGAATGTTTTTAGCAGGCACCAGAAAGGGCACATTGAAGGAGCTTTCTTGATCTCAATAGGCAGGGAGTTCCAAAGTGCAGGTACAGCCACACTAAACAACTGAGATCTTACAAATGAGGAATGGGTATGATGTGGCACCTGTAGTAGTGCCATTTCCACCAATCCAAGCCGTCAAGTAGGCACATGTAGGGTAAGACGATCTTGTAGGTTAACTGGTCCCAGGTTGTTAAGGGCTTTATACTAATAGTAACACCTTGAACTTGGCCAGTAGCAAATCAGCAAGCAGTGTAGATCTGTAAGCACAGGTGTTATATGCTGATAACGCCTCGCTCCAGTCAGCAATCATGCTGCAGCATTCTGCACTAACTGCAGCTTCCGGATCAAGCGTGAAGGAAGCCCCACATACAGAACATTGCAGTAGTCCAGTCTTGTAGTAACAAACACATTAACATCAAGGAATTTACATTTTTAGGGTATGTATGTTGCTGCCCTAGGTATCTTTATAAATTCAATATACATCTAAAGCACTGAACAAATAAAGATCCAAATGCACTATGACTCAATCTACCTGCACACCTAGGTCCTATCACATGAGACCAAAATCTTCCAAAAGACCCATATATTATATATTGGTAAGACTGTACTAATAAGCTAAGGAGCTATTTCTATTCCAAGAACATAGCTCAGCTACCTGGCACTACACACCAGATATATATGCCTTGGGAAGCTTCCTGCATTACTTTTTAAAGCTCCAGGCATGCTCTTAAAACTCAACAAATTAGTTGATCTACCAAAACACTTTTGCTACAACAAAACCACTTGCCATAGAGCTGTAGAACCAATTGGGCCAGACTCAATTCTCTTATAAGTAGTAAGAATAAAAGGAGAATGTATTTATGTGGTGTGTGAGGTGCTATGAGTGAGATTACAAAAACCTCTTAAAACAAAATGCAAGAAGCAAATTCCTTCAGTTCAACTGGGGGATTATTTTTCCACTTGACAGGGACAGAAGACCCTCTTCCACATGAGAAATGCCTCAGATGGCCATTAACCCACCTCTATTTTTGAAGACTAACCTCACAACAAAAGGAAGCGGGTGGCGCTGTGGTGTAAACCACAGAGCCTAGGACTTGCCAATCAGAAGGTTGGCGGTTCAAATCCCCGCAATGGGGTGAGCTCCCGTTGCTCGGTCCCTGCTCCTGCCAACCTAGCAGTTTGAAAACACGCCAAAGTGCAAGTAGATAAATAGGTACCACTCCGGCGGGAAGGTAAACGGCATTTCCGTGCGCTGCTCTGGTTTGCCAGAAGTGGCTTAGTCATGCTGGCCACATGACCTGGAAACTGTACGCCAGTAAAGCAAGATGAGTGCTGCAACCCCAGTCGTCCGTGACTGGACCTAACAGGGGTCCCTTTACCTTTAACCTCATAACAGGGTATGTATTTGCTTTTTCCCTACTCCATCCCAAGGAGTTAGGCAAGTAATGATGAGTCATAAAATTCAATTCACAATAGAATAATTCCATTTTACCTTGTAAAAAGCAATATGTTTTTAAAACCCAGCTGTTTCCCCACAATATTCATACTTTCCTGGCACTAATTCTATTCAATGTTTTTAAAAAAACCAAAAAACACTTTTCTGGTTTTCTCTTTATAAGATTTAAGCCTTCCATAATTTATATGTCCCAGTTTTCATTTGTTGCTCCAAAGAAGTAATAGATAGGGTGTGATGTACAAGCTAAGTGACATAAAGCTCTACTAGCAACTTAGTCATAATAAGAACCTGGGGATTCAGAGATAGAAAACCTTTGAACGCTAGTTGTCACGAGACAAACAAGGCAGGGTTATTCCTTTCAAGCAAGTCTGTGGTCATCCTGGAAGCATCTGGCTAGCCACTAATGGAAACAGGATGCTGGATTAGAAAGACCTTTGACTGAAACCAGTGCAGCATGTTTCAAAAAGTCCCTGTATCAAATCTCACCTCTTTAAGTTGTTTTAGTCAAATCACTCTCTGTCAGCCCATAACCTGAATGCTGGGTTGCCTTACAGGGCTGTTGTAAAGATTACCACTTTGAACTGGACTATATTAACAAAAACCACTAAAATGCCGTAACCACACCTACTCCACAACCAAACTTTGTATTTAAACCACAGCCTGGCAGCCATGACATAAATAATGAATTCCATGCAGGTGAATAAGCAGACTGGCAAAAGAGGGATGGAGCTCTTCATTCATCTGCTGTCATCAGCACAGAAACCAGCAGGCTGCCAGAAGTGGGATGCCACCTGTTCTGCACCTACTACAGAAATGCAGATGTTGAAGGAAGGATGGACCCCTGTTTCTTTTCTGCCGGCAGACTAGTAATTTTTATTACAGGCAACCCGCCCCTCAATTTACATGTTTTCAGTACGTGCACAACTGCGCATCGCACTGAACCCAAGTGACCCCAAAAAAGTATCACAAAAAGGGGCTAGACAGGGCGACGTGTTTGCAGGCTTTTCCAATGGTGTTTAAAATTTACGTGATTTCACTGTGCCTCAGAAGTAATCTCTATGTAAATGAGGGGTTGCCTGTACTCACCTTATTTACAAGGCCAGTGTAGCTGACAGCATGGCCTTGAATCAAGCTGGGCTGGGTCTCAAGTCTCCCTTCAGCCACAATGATTCCAGGATGGCTGCAATCTCCCAACTTCATGTAGTGTCCATATTTTTAGGTATTTATAACTCACACTTGCATCTTCCTACGTGAGCTTCTAGAAGGAAGATGCAAGTGTGAGTTATAAATACCTAAAAATATGGACACTGATGGCTTTGTACTAGGAGTGGAAAGCTCTTCCAATCATGCAGGTCACTCAATTTTCACTGATCCCCCTATAACTACTACGGTCTGCTGTGCAATATTCCATGCTCTTCCAGGGAGTTTCCTAACCCTAAATTACCATTTTTCAGGGGTCTGAAGCTGGTAGAGAGACTGGCAAAAAACATGTGCTGCACCTTACACAACAAGTTACCCACTCTAATAAAGCTACCATTGGTTTTAACCTAAGGAGATTCTCCTTCATGTTACTGCATCCATGCTTAAAAGGAACTCTCCTTAGGAATACAAGCACATGAGCCCTGCTGATCAAACCAGAAGCCCATATAGTCAAGCATCCTGTTTTCCATGGCAGCCAACCAAATGCCTATGGGAAGCCCACAAACAAGATGTGAGAGGAGTATGTCTTTTCACCTGCTGTCCCCTAGTAACTGGTATTCAATGGTAGGTAAGCATACTAGCAGCCACTGAAAGCTTTATCAGCTCCATGAATTTATCTAATCCCCTTTTAAATCAAACCAAAGTTGTTAGTATGTCATACATAAATGGGGCTAAATGTATTGCTTTTCTCCCCAGCAGCTTAGCTATGGGAAACACTTTTCTCCTGCATTCCACTACCCCAGATACTTGCTTCAAGTTCAGGAATACCTTTTACCACCCCCAGGCTCCATGCAGCATCCACAGCTACCAGCCAATAGACCATGGAACTTCCAGCTGCAAAGGCAGCATACTTTTCAATGCCACACACCTAAATACTATCCTGTGCTCCTAGGAGAATGTTATGAATGTGTATATGCATACTATGTGTATATATATATATATACACATATATAAATATATATACACACACACACACACACACCGTCAGCTCATGCCTCTCATGCTTAATGAGAGATTCTCTCCCCCACACAAAAAAATTAAGTTGCTTTAGATTGCCCCTGGGCAAGATAAAGCAACTAGTAATTTTATTTTATTTTAAAAGAAGAGATGTCATGTGGCAAGATGAAATCTCACATTCTAAAGCATGATTTTTGTGCTGATTGCACTTCTGCCTGCCTGTCTGAATGTGCCCCTTGGCAGGCCAAACCATTCAGACACCTCACCCTCACTATGTAACCAGCATCACCAAATGTCAAATGCAGAAAAAAGCATTTATAGTCCTGTGGTTCCAGCCTGTGCACTCTGCCACATTCAAAGGAAGATATCTATCTCCACAAACTTTGTGAAGTGGGAGCTTGTCCATGTGGAGGCAATGTTCCTGAAGATCTACCAGGCTACTAACTGGTTTAGACCAATCCACAAGGACCTAAGAGCAGGTCTTGTTCAAAGGTTTAAAGCTCTAGGTTTTAGGAGGTCAACTGTGTATCTGATTTAACTTTGTATTATTGGGGGCACTCTTCCAACAGTTTGACTTCACTGTCAGAAGACAGACAGATGTCAACAATTGGGGGAGACGTAAGTGGTCTGCTTTGGAATTTGAAAGCAATTAATAATAATAATAATAATACCCTGCCCATCTGGCTGGGTTTCACTAGCCACTCTGGGTGGTTTACAGTACATAAAAAAACATAGTAAAACGTCAAAGACTATGTGGGGGTGTTATGTTAAAATCCATCGGGAGAAGCAGGCTCTCTCATGTGACAAAACTTTCTGGTTTCCATTTCGTCTGCTTTGCGTATTTTATCTTCTGCAATAGCTTCAGCAGGACGAGATAGATGAACAAATAACGCCATCCACACACACACACACACACACTTCTGTTTACTTTATAAGGTATAAGCACTGGTTTATGGTTTGTTTTTTAAAATGCCATCCGTTTTATTTTATTTACTTCGTAAGACTTAAGCACCACTTGATTGTTTTAAAAAAGGAGAGACATCCCTCGAGGCGGTTTGCAACACTCTTCCCTTCCCCCGCCCCAGTAAAATCGAGGAAAAATTCACAACATGCGGAAGCCGAAATGCCAAAAAGTGTTTAGGATTCGCCTCTGCTTCCTCCTAAGCACCTGGGTGGGCTTCCCACCCCCCACCCCCCACCCCCACCCCCGATTAGCAGGGGCCGAAAAGAGTACAAAGCGCAGCGAAGGCGCCTCCTTGACCTCAAGGGGCAGGGAGTTCCGACGGTGCGGGCCAAGGAATAGCAGCCATAAAAAGAACAATAGGGTTTCTCGCGAATAACAATAGCCGCCCCTCCAACCCTTCCGAGGCCCCTCTGAACCCGCGCAGACCCAGCCTCCGCCTCGGCCTCACCTGGGATTGAAATCCTGAAACAAGCCCCTCAGGTTCATGGCGATCCGCCTTCCGCCGCCCTTCTCACAGGGGGCGCATCGCGGGACCCCCCAAAAAATGTCCGCCGCCCTACAGCCGCCCGCCCTGTCCCGTCCCCTCACAGCGGCCGGGCCGCACTGCGCCTGCGCCGCCGCTAGGATGCGCACGCGCGGGATCTCGGAGGCTGTTCCCAGCTATCCCTCCTCTCCCTACTCCCTTGCGCCCAAGGCTGCTTTTTTTCCCCTCCTTCCCCGCCCACCACAGAAAGCTCTGGGCCCCGCCCACCTCCGCCGGCTAAAGGACTGGGAAGACAGTGCGCGTGCGCGGCGACCTGGCGCCTGCGTCGTGAGCGCGGTCGAAGCTTTGCCCGGTTGCTGCTCAGGGAAGGGCAAGGGGATGAAAGCTTTTTCTAAGGAACTGGGGAGGGAATCGCAACATACGGTAGGTTAAGGGACCGCAATCTAGCGCCCAACCTCGTTCCCGTGCAATGCAGGAATTATTTTTGCCTAACTTGAGGCCGGAATCCACGACTCTGAGATTAATGCTAAACCGGGGGTCTGGGTTAAAGGCGGATCTACACGGATCCTCAGGGATCCTCCACTTTTTAAAAAAATAACTCCAACAAATCCAGTGTCAAATCACATCTGGAAGGCACGCCTACAGACTGGACAATAAAAAACGTGGATCCAACACTTAGCCGCCCTGCAGCACCACAAAAACATGGATCCTCATGAATTCATATGATTTTTATATTGAAACAAAATAAAAACACCATGATATACACCACGTGTCTGTAGACAGAACCATGGTTAAAAAACACGGATCCTCATAGATCCACATGATTTTTGCACTAGATCAGCCCAAAGTCACCATCAGATCAAATATAATGGCCATGGTCACAGACTGCACCACAAAAATCATGTATCCACGGCTTCCTGGCAGCTCCATGGCCCAAAAACGTGATTTTGAAGCACGGATCCTCATGGATCCTCACGCTTTATGCATTGAGCTACCCCAGACTCACCATCAATTCACACATCATAGCCAGGGGACCAGCCTGCACCACAAAAATCATGAGTTGCACTACAAAAATCACAAAATGCCCTTAGCAGCACTGTTAATGTCACCACTGGAGCATTATTATTAGAGCTGAGAGGAGAATGTACGACTATATATTGTACCAAGATATGGTTCATCTTCAAGAACAGATCAAATACATGCCGAAGTATTAAAGAGGAGAAAAAAATATGAAACTGCTTTCATACTGTCAACTAATATCCAGATTCAAGAAAGACTGTATGGCAAATAGTTAAATCAGTGAAAAGACAGAATTTGAGTCCATCATAACAGAGGTCTACCTTTTGGGTAAAATTTATAAACTATTACTCAAATATGACACTGAGCCCGAACAAGCAAAACATTATATGACAAAATGGATGCAAAAAATTTAAGAACAGTTTACAGTGGAACAATGAGAACAATTATGAATAAAGGAATAAAATTCACTGCAGTTAAGTCCTAAAACAAAATTGGTACAGTGAAACCTCGGGTTGTGGACGTAATCCGTGATGGAGGCATGTCCGCAACCCGCAGCGTTCACATCCTGAAGCACTGCGTATGCGCAGGCGCCGGCACAATTTGGCGCTTCTGCGCATGCGCGAGTGGCAAAACCCGGAAGTACTTCTGGGTTTCCAGCAGTCTGCAACCCGAAAACACGTAACCTGAAGTGGCCGTAACATGAGGTGTGACTGTACAAAAATATTCTTTCAATGGTCTATAACTTTGAAAGATATACAGAAGATGAATAATGAAATGAATGGACATTGCTGGAAATGTCATAGCCCTCAAGGAACCTTCTTCCATTTATGGTGGACCTGTGAAAAGACCAAAAAGTTTTGGAGGAAAGTTCATTTTGAAATGAAAAAACTGTAAAAAAACAAAATTTGCATTGGACCCTAAAACTATGCCGTTGGGAATAACTCCTTCAGCTACTGTATTGTGAAATCGTCAGTGGAACTATTTAGTTATATGACCACAGCAGTCAGAGTGGTGTTGGCTAACATATGGAAATCTGACATATGTCCTGAAATAGATGCATGGAAAGAGAAACTATCAGAATATGCAGTAATGGCAAAACTCGCGATAGACTCATGGCAGAACATAAAAAAACTTGGAATCTTTATAATTTGTATACAACTTAACAGAACTGTAACAAAATGAACATCTGTATGGATTGGTATAATAGACCTTAGGTTACAAAAATATTTCCTGTTTAAAAATAGAAGCTTTGTGTGTATATGATAAAGAAATATATAGTAGAAAAAATATTGTCTGTCTGATCTAGAAATGAAATCATATTTTTAAATAATTTTTGCTTTAGATTTTTATAATCATAAATGGTATTTCTCCAATAGCAAACTACCTAGAATTGGAAATAAAATTTAGTACACTAACCTTTGTTTAACTCTTGATAAATATCAGCTTGCTGAGTTATTTTGTACCATTGTGATTCAGTGTTATATTTGCCAGCAGGCAGACCCAGCAATACAGAGTTTTGCTGCTTAGCAAGAGATTTGGGGAAGCTGCTACCGTTCTTCACTGTGATAAGAATACACACTGAGTACTCGTCTCCTGTTTACTGTGCAAGCAAGTCAGCCAGGCCATAGCATGAGTACCTGCCAGCCATCTCATCCTAGGTCACCTCCTATGCAGCATCAGGCAGGTGAAGTCACCAACATCCATGAAAAAATATACCGAAGGCGAATTCTGGGACTCCAGAATCCACAGATACCTGCACAGTCTCTAGCTCAGGTGTGGGGAACCTCTGGCCCTCCGGATGTTGCTGAACTCCTGCTTGCTGGAGTTGACGGGAGTTGCAGTCTAGCAAGAGCTGGGGTGGCCAAAGGTTCCTCACACCTCACCAGAGGAAAAGGATTCTGCATATGCTCAGGAGCACATTTGCCCTGCGGTCTTTGAAATGCTACATCCCCCTTGGAGATCAAGGATTTCTGTGCATGCTCCAAGACACTCAGCCAAGGTGCCAGAATTTTGGTCAGCCCAAAGGTAGCTGCTGCACTCTTTAGACACAACGTCTGCTGAAATTGCTGATGAATTTGCACTGGCTTCCTTTGAGACTATCTGAGGTGGGGACTGGAACAGGCCTGCCTCTTTGAGGACTTGTTAATTGATTTTAGCACTCCTTTGGAAAGAAGCAGGTATGTGCTCTTTGTGACTGAGCATATTTCCAAATGTGAATTCCGCAGAAAAACAACAGACTGTGAAGCATTCATGTGCCCATAGCTCTGGAATTCATGTGCTCCCATGCCAGAGAGGTTTTATGAGCAAATTTGATGGTTCCTTTCCCCACTTAGGCCGGACAGGTCCACAATGCACCTGCCTTTAATGTTATGGCCCACCATTAATCTTGCATGCACCACGAAATGTGCCACCCACATGGAAAGAGCAGGCTGCATTTACCCTTTTCTCTCCCAATTTGAGTTCCACCTGAAAATTATGTGGCAGAAGTTACAAATGCTTTCAAATCCATGCCCTGCTTAATTCACAGAGTGCAGAAGGGTAGTGATATTATTAAGCCCCCCGCACCAAACGTAGAAAAAGAGAGCCACCAAGCACCTTAGAAACAAATGGATTTATCGTGGCAGAGCCAGTCGTAGGGCTAGAGAGTTTGGGATTAGAGCATTCTGCAGGCGGAACAGCAGGTGCCTCTGAGTTCTGACAGAGGAGCATCGCCACTCAGGAAGGGCCAGGTGGGGCCAGGTCCTGGTGGGGGGGGGGGGTTGCCACGGTGACAAGGACCCGCCCTCCTTTGTGACATCTCTTCCTTCTCCTTTAAAAGCCACTGACTTGCAGGCGGCCATTGTGGGTTAGTGAGCAGAGGTTAGAGGAGAGAGGTGGTGGTGACAGTTGGTGGTGGCAGTTGGTGGAGAGTAAGAGGAGGATTATTGATTTGTTCTTTTTTCGTTTTCTTATTTTGATTTGGATTTCATTTATTACTTTTATTTGATTTATTTGATTTGATTTATTTTGATTTCCTTTTATTCTTTTATTTTAACACTTTTATTTTATCTTATTTTATGTTCTTTGTTTTAATATTTTTGTTTTTTGTTTTTTTGTGCACATCTGTGCATATTCTGTACATATTTTTATTTTTTAGATAGAGGAATAGTTAGGATTAAGTTAGGGTAGGGTAGGGTAGGGTTAGGGTGGGGGTTAGGTATAGACTTAGGGCGGGGGTTGGGGTCAGATTTAGGCTTGGGTGGGCATTTTAGATAGTTAAAGGTAAAGGTACCCCTGCCCGTACGGGCCAGTCTTGACAGACTCTAGGGTTGTGCGCTCATCTCACTCTATAGGCCGGGAGCCAGCGCTGCCCGCAGACACTTCCGGGTCACGTGGCCAGCGTGACAAGCTGCATCTGGCGAGCCAGCGCAGCACACGGAATGCCGTTTACCTTCCCACTAGTAAGCGGTCCCTATTTATCTACTTGCACCCGGGGGTGCTTTCGAACTGCTAGGTTGGCAGGCGCTGAGACCGAGCGACGGGAGCGCACCCCGCCACGGGGATTCGAACCGCCGACCTTTCGATCGGCAAGTCCTAGGCACTGAGGCTTTTACCCACAGCGCCACCCGGGTCCCTTTTAGATAGTTACTTTAGATAGGAGGGTGGGATCTTTTCGTTGTCAAAATGGGCAGACTGTAAGTAGCATCCCTTCCTCTTCATCTCCGGGGGGTGTGTGTGTCACAAACTGGGAGGTTTTTCTGGCGGACACCTGAGTATCAGGTTTGTCCCTGTCCCTCCCTTGACCTCCACCTTACACCTATTAAGTAAAACAAAGAAAAATATAAACATGGTCCTATTTCCCAGCCAAGTTGAGTACCCCCTAGTATCCTGGCCAAGTTCCCAATCCATGTAGGTTGGATCCACTCTTGTCCTTGAGATGGCTACCTGTCTGGCACTCAGAGACCAGGAGGGCAGTGATTATCACCCCGGCAGAAGGGTTGCTGTGTACGTGGTCTGATGCTTCAGGGATGATGGCTGCCCCTAGCCATGTCCCAAGTGCCTTCTCTGGTAGCCATCTTCCTTCTGAGCAGAACAGCATTGGAACGGTGTCAATCCGATGTTGGATTGCTTTTATATGAATATTTGAAGGTTTTCCCGCTGCAAGAGTAGGCGAGTGCTACGACCAGATATCTTCTTCTTCTATCACTCATAGCTGAGTAAGATTGACTTCCATGAACAGTGAGTTTTAACCGTGAGTCCATAAGTGATTGTGAAGGCCAATTCTGGATCCACACGTCCTTCCACAGTGGGGACATAGTTTTCTTGGCGGGAGCTGATCACAGTGAGGGTTTGCCAAGCGTGCCTTCCTCTTAGCTCATTTCTCCCTTGCATCCTGAGTTCAAGTGTCTTCAAAGCCCATGACACCTTTGGTAAAGGCTGTTCTCCTATTGGAGCGCTCGCAGGCCAGTGTTTCCCAGCCATTGGACATGACCAGTCCAACGAAATTGGTGTTGAAGAATCATTGGTTCAACACTGGTGATCTTTGCTTCTTCCAGGACACTGGTATTAGTTCGCCTGCCTTCCCAAGTGGTGTGTCACATTTTTCGGAGACACCATTAATGGAATCTTTCAAGGAGTTGGAGATGGCGTTTATAAGTGATCCATGTTTCACAAGCATACAGCTGGGTTGGTAGTGCAAGAGCCTAGACTGAAACTTAAAAGACTAGTTCAATGGACCAAGAATGGTTTTCATGGCTGGTTCTGATTTTTCCCTTTTCCCAGTGGGAATTCCTACTTGTAGAGAAGAGGCCACGGCTGGTTGGCAGCTGCAGTGCCTGTGTGCTTTGTTCTATTGTTGTTGTTGTTGTTTAGTCGTTTAGTCATGTCCGACTCTTTGTGACCCCATGGACCAGAGCACCGCAGGCACTCCTGTCTTCCACTGCCTCCCGCAGTTTGGTCCAACTCATGTTGGTAGCAACGAGAACACTGTCCAACCACTTGGTCCTCTGTCGTCCCCTTCTCCTTGTGCCCTCAGTGCTTTGTTCTAGAGGGTGCTGTTTCGTGGCGCTCACTGGTTGCTATTGGACAGCTCTTTGGATAGTCTGAGTGGATTGGTTGAGTGCCTTGCGAGCGAAAGGCTCAGCCTTCATTAGGGCAAATGTTCTACCCTTATTTATGGGAGCCTTTGGAATAGAAAAAGGAAAGGACTGTGTCAGGATGTGTTTTGTGCAGACATTTGCAGATGTGAAGGTGTTGATTTGGGGTACAGTCGGAGGGGGGGGTATGGTGCCTGCTGGAGGGGAAAACCCCCCGCCACCCTTTCCAAAAAATCTGGTAACAATGTTAAGAATGACCCAAATTTTATTTGCTTCATGAAATTTATATACTGCTTGACTGCATGAATGAGTGGGCCAGGCTCTCTGGGTCCTGGCATGGCCATAGCTCTTGAACCCAGAGCACTTGGGACCTCCTTTCTGTCTCTGCCAGCCCTTCATGCTCTGGGCTGCCTCTTTCAGACTCTGATGATGCCCCTTCAGGTCACTGAACTGCAGAGAGATGGAAGGAATTGGTCATGATGGGCCGGCAAGGATCAATTAGGCTCCACATATGTATTTCTGTTCTGCCAATTTGGCAGTGGTTCACTGTTTTCTCCAGACTCCCCTCCTCGCACACAAACACCCCCCAAGAATTGGGGCTGCTGGCATCTGAGTCGCTCTCTCCGCTCATCTCTTCTAGGATCAGGTGCTTAAGGCACCTGTTCAGGTGCTGCCACAGGGTGGCCCCCCAGCAAGACCCAGAGCAGCCCGTGGAGCCAGGTTAGCAAGTGGCCCTCCTTTTTTGGACAGAGGAGGGCAGGGATGGGCATGGGGGGCAACTGGTCCAAGGATGCAAAAGAGGACTCACCTCTTCCCATGTCCTTCTGTTTGCAGTTCTGCTGCGGTTCCACATCCCAGCCCCAGGGGTGAGGATTGGAGCAAACAAGAGCAGGGACTGGATCCCTCAGACCTGCCCCCCACTGCCCGGGCTCTGTGCCCCCCACTCTGCACTCTCAGATGCGGAGAAGCCCTCCCCTCATGAGGAACTGACAGCCTGACTTTTGCATTTCAGCTGCTGGAGGATGAACAGGTCTACCTCCTGGGGGTCATCCAGAGCTGCCAGGCAGCTGAGCTCAGGGGGCTACGATCCCTGAAGTGCTCCAAGCAAGAGACGGCCCAAGCCATTCTGGTGAGTGATGGGGGGTGGGGGGAAGGGGTTGTGCATCTGCGGAGAGGAGGACCCTGCCGGCTTAGGCCATGGGGTTGCCATTCCCCTGCAAAGCCAAACCTGGTGTTTGGGGTCGGAGCTGATTTTCCTCCTCTGTTCTCTTCCAGGACATCTTGGGGCCCTTGGAGCACTTCAGGCATCGCCCCCTGACCCTGGCCCTTGCCTTGGAGGCCCTCCTCCAGCTAAGGTGAGTGGGGTCTTTGGCGTGGACGGGGTTGTGGGGGGGGGGCAGAACTCCAGGGGGAAAGAGCAGGCGGGAGGGAGAAGGGGGCAAGGGAGATTCTAACCCTCTCCCTTTCATCTCTGCAACACGATGAGGCCCAGGTTCAGCTGCGATATGATCAGCGTGATCCTGCGCAGGACGTTGGAGGCCGTGCTGAAAGGGACCGCCGAGGAGGAGGAGAAGAGAGAAGTATGTCCTTTGTTTTGGCTTCCCTTCACGGCTCTTTCTTCTTCGTCACACACTTGCAGAATCCAACCCAGCATTCAAACTTTCTTCTCTCTTTTCCCGCAAGAACTGAAGAGGCACTTCCGGCTCCTGCTGGGCAGTCTCCTTATGGAAGCCCCCAACCCTGGCACCCTCCTCCACCTTCTCAGTGTAAGTGTCCCGATGACAGAGAGAGATCCGAAAGTTGTTAACTATTTTGCCTCAAAAGATCTCACGGAATCTTGGGTTTTTCAGTTCCTTAGGATATATGGTCTACTCCCTGTGTAACTCCACGTGTCAAGAAGAAAAAGAATTGGAAGAGAATGGAATAAAAATAAATATTTTTTAATGGATTTTGAATAAATGCACAATAAATTGTTACTGTTTTGAATGTCATTGTGTTATTGTCTTCCATTGATCTGGACACTTTTGTTGTTGCAGCCTAGAATAGCATTAGCATTTTTTGCTGCTGCATCACTCTCAGGTTGACTCATGTTAAGCTTGTGGTCCACTAAGATCCCTAGATCCTTTTCCCTACCAGCAAACCAGGTGTCCCTCATCTTATATTGGTGCAGCTGCTTCTTCCTGCCAAAGTGCAGAACCTTAGATTGGCTAGAGGTCCTCTTTGCTCATCTTCAGGATGTGACCATGTCACAGCCAGTGCTGTGGTAGCTCCGTGTGGCATTAACACAGTTCAGTGCAATTGCCTGGTGACAATCCAGTCCAGCTGGTGCCAGTGACCTGAGATCTAAGATGTCTGCAGGACACTGAGTGTTTTGCCTTGGTAGAGCACACCATGTTCGTGACGCAGAGGCTGTGGTATGAGCACAGTTCAGGTAGCCTTTGTCTGTTCATGTTCAGGCTCCCGATACCAAGGGGGCCTCTGTGGTTATCCCAGCTGTGATGAACTCTTCCAGCAGGAATAGTAATAGTAATAATAATTTTATTATTTATACCCCGCCCATCTGGTTGGGTTTCCCCAGCCACTCTGGGCAGCTCCCAGCAGAACACTAAAAACAGAATAAAACTTCAAACAGGGCTGCCTTCAGATGTCTTCTAAAAGTGAGAGAGTTGTTTATTTCTTTGACATCTGCTGGGAGGGCATTCCACAGGGCAGGCGCCACTACCGCGAAGGTGTTTGCAGGCTCCTGACATCCTGGTCTAGTTCCACATTTGTAAGCAGTTGATCCTTTAGTGTGGTAACCTTCACATTTTGGAACTCCCTGCCTACTGACATCAGGGAACTGCTTTCCCTGTACAGTACTCTTCTTGGTGCCACTTAACATTTTCCTTTAGGCAAGCCTATTCAGGCATGTAGAATTTCATTCTAGTTTTTAGCTTGATGTTGATTTTTTTTCTTTTTTAATGTTTTTAACAGTTGGGAATTTTTTAATGTCTTTTTTTTTTTTTTGGCTGATAATCTCATTGTTTTGTTCTTTGAGGTTTTATTACAGTCAGGAGGTACGTATAGTATCTTATGAATTACATAAACGAGCTCTCATTGGGCCCTGTCAGCCTAACAACAGCCTGATCCCCTCACCCCCGTTGCAGAATCTGGAACACTGATTTCTTTTGCAGAGAAAATAAGTGATCGGTGGGATGATCCCCGCCCCGCTCACCTACACTCAGCTGTTGCTGCGCATTGCAACTAAATTTTGCGAAACAAAATAAAACCCAACCCTAAACTTTACATGCATTTATTTGTCTTCAAAGAAGAGCGGTGGCGCTTTATTTTCAAGACCAAAGCAACGGGGTGCACAGCCTGGGCAGTACAAGATACAGCCGCCGCCGCCGCCTCCTCCTCTTAGAAGGACACCGGGCACAATTGCGCGCATACATTGACCTCTGCTCGAATACAGCCGAGGAGGCAAAGAGAGAGAGAGGGCTTAATCACACCTCCCAAGGAGTTTAGGGTGTATTCCCGCGCCCTGGCAGTCGAAGTGTTACACGGCAGAAGAGTCCCGAGCCCATTCCGAAACAAAGACTGGGCAGAACGCATGCGCGCCCAGGGGACCCAGCTTCGACTCCTGGTACTGTGTGCAACTTTTCTCCCGTCTCTTCTCATTTAGTCGCATGCCGGTTGTGATGTCTAGAGGGGCAGAGCGCTGGAGCGATCCTTCTCTCTCGTTCCTCTCACTGCCTCGTGGTGAGGAGGAGGAGGAGGAAAAAGAAGATGCAGACTTTTGTCTCCCCAGTGGCCAAGGCGATCTTCGTGGCTGTCTTCCTCTTTGCTATCTTACTCATTCTCTGTGTGATCCTCTGGTACATTTGCAGGGACCCAGACCACGGCGTCGTCTGAATCGATGAGGGACAGAGGAGCGCCTCGCTTTCTTACTACAAGGTAATGACGGGCTGCGCGTCTCCTCCACAAGGGTAGAAGGGCAACTGGCAAGGTGACAAGCAGGGGCATAGGAGCCAACTCCTAGGGGCCGAGGGGTCTTCAGTCCCCCTCCGTAAAATATTTGAAACCCGCCCCTCCCCCGTTGATGCTGTGCGTGCACCGTGCCATGTGATCGATTATGTTGGACGGGGCTTACCCCCCATATTTTATTCAAGTTGGCCCCCCTGAGCAGGGAGCAACAAGCTCAAATCTTGGACTCCCACAAAAAGTTTTTTGCATGGATCTTTTAGCATGGGAGCTGAGGTCCCTTCTGCCCCCCCAATAAAATATTTGAGCCCCCCCACCCCCAAGTTGATGGGTATTGCCATTCAAATGATGTGTGTGCGTGCTGTGGCTTGTGATCGATTATGCAGAGCGGGTCCATCTGGTTCATCACTGTGTTCACTGACAGGCAGTTTCTCTCTAGGGTTTCAGAAACGAAGTCCACTGGGGACTGAACTTGGGACCTTCTGCATGCAAACATATTACTGCCCTCCCTAATATGTTTGCCGTTTTTAATTGAGCCACCTTCTTTACTAAAGTAACTTTCAGTCCAAACCTCGCTGAAGCTTAAGGGATAGCATAGCAACATGTGCAGTCGTCTTCTTCTTAGAAAGCCTACTTTATCACATCGGATGCATTGCCTATGGGAAATGAATGTCACAATGAATTCCTTAGGCTTTAAAGTGCCACTGATTTTTTTTTCTTTGCTTTGCTTCCGGAAGACAAACAACATAATCATTCTTTTTATTCATCTGTGATATCTCTCAGGGAGTGTCTGCATGGGGTTAGGAGTGGTGGTGGCCTCAGAGGACTTGATCCCTCCAGCTCACCTTTGCAAAAGAGTTCACAGACCCTCTTTCAGACTGCATTGCTTCTGTGTCAAGTGGAACCCGCAAACAAAAAGTTGCAGTGTGGCGTTCTGCTGTTCCAGTAAGGCAGCACCATGTCTTTCTTCAGAATATTCCAGACCACCTCTGCTCCCCACCCCAACAGTCATAATTATGTGGATCACTGGTGTGATTCAGCCACATACTAGCAAATTCAAATTGCAAAATTGTAGTTGATTGAGATGTCTTATAACAAACCCACTTCCTCGAAAGACTGGATTTCTTTTTTTCTTTTCTTTTTGCAATAAGGAAAGTGATGGGAAAATGCACTGGAAAGTGTGGGATAAAGCTTGCTTACATGCAAAGTTATCTAAGCTCCCAAGCAAATAATAATCATTAAGTAGCCAATGCTACCGAATCTCGCTGCAAACAAAGCAAGATGAATGCCCAATAAACTGGTTGTCTGGAAGGGACATCAGTCCTCATTTTTTGGATGTTCCTTTCTCAGGTTTCATTTTTCCTAAGTCTTTGGACTTCCCTTCCCTTTTCCCAGTGCAGTTGATTCATCTTCTTTGTGCATAGATGGTACTGTTTAGGCTGTGCACTTGCACTGGCCCCTGAACATTTGAATTAGATGGAGTGATGATTATGTGGCCACACAATCCATCCATTCAGGAAGAGGAGCAAAACAGTTGCTCAGAACCATGTTCCACATCTTCCCATGCTACTGATTTTGCCCAAAGCCTTTCCAAATCCTCCACGTCTTTGTTTCCAAACTCTCTATTTTCCAGGATCCCTCTCCATATTAACATGTTTACTATGAATTCCAGAGGCTTCCAGATCACTGAAAAGCTGGGTGTTGTCATTTTATTGTTTATACAAAAAACAATGCAAATAAAGTAATGTTCAAACAAACAAACTAACAGAAATAAGATAAAAGGGAAAGTTAATGGAAGGAAGGAAGACAATGGGAGATTTTGAAACACAAGCACACTGGATTGCTTACTATGAGGCATAAATCTCAAGAAAAACTGTTTGTTTGGGCCTGCAACCCATGCTCACGTAGCTCACCAACCCTACCAAACCACTTAACCAACCACCGCTCTCTTTACACCTCACTCAGCCACCCCATATCCTTACATCTCCTCTGTGTCCCTCCATCACTGCTTTATTCAAACCTCTGCTGTTGTTTAAAACTGCAATTCTAAAAAACCCCTTTCTTTTCTTTCGCTCCCCTCCCCTTCCCTGACTTCTTGCAAATCCAGACTTGTGCTGCAACGCTACAGATTTTCTAATGGGCGCCACCGCTTCGCAATGACAGCCTGACATTTGTATGTATATAGGAATATTTATATACTGCTTATAAGCTGAAATGTGTTCTGAGTGGTTTATCTTCTTTCAGTTCTCATTCATATATTGCCAGTTCAAATACGGGAGATTAAAAACCCAGTATTATATGGAAGGTGAAGACTTCTTCCAAGTGGAATGGGTTTAATAACATTCAAGTCTTAATTTGAGCTGAGTTTTACCAGAGCTGGAAATCCTTCCTCTCAGTCTCTCAAGCCTGGTTGTAGTGCCATAATTCTGCTCCTGGATATGACAGTAACAATGGAAAAAATACTTCTTCTTTTTTAGTGTTTCTGGTCTTTCTTCAGCAAACCTTGGGCATTCTCCCAACCAAGCTGATTCTTTCCTCTTATTTCTAAGTGGTGCTATTTTGGCTACAATCCTTTTGGCACTCATTACTCATTGTTCACTATTAGAGGGAGTGATAAAGCTTAGTATCCATTCACAGAAGCAGTCATTGGCAATAACACAAAATATCTTCCTTTACTGTGCCAACTTTAACTCTTGTAGAAGAAGAGAAAAGTGCACCATGGTCTT